AGTATTATTGCCCATTCGTTTATTTATAGTCGTGATACATACAATTCATTGACAAATTGGTTGACCGATGCCCGAACGCTTGCAAGTTCAAATATTGTTATTATATTGGTAGGAAATAAAAAAGATTTAGAAGCCGAAAGGGAAGTTACATTCTTAGAAGCCAGTCGTTTCGCTCAAGAGAATGGTACACAATCTTTATCGATTTGACCATTTTACCATTAGCTTATAACGTTTTCTTTTCTTTTTTTATTATCTCTTCATCTTCCATCGTCTCTCTCATCAATTCTCTTATCTAGAATTGATTTTCCTCGAAACCAGTGCTTTAACCGGAGAAAACGTTACTGAAACATTCTTGAAATGTGCCAGATCTATCCTTGGAAAAATTGAATCAGGTTTGATTGCTTCATCTTGATATAAATAATACTATAATATTGATATTTATTTTGAAAAAAATTAGGGGAATTAGATCCAGAAAGGATTGGTTCAGGAGTACAATGGGGTGATGCATCATTAAGAAGATTAAATCGACAACAAAATACTCAAAGGAAGCCCGACTGTCCTTGTTGACTCTGAGACAAAACTCTCGTATTTTTTTACCAACAATTTTTTTGACAATTGCATTTAATGATATAGATATTATCATTAATTCTACTAAAACCTCTACAATTTACCTTTCTCAAAAAGAATTGAATATCGGCTTATCCTCCTGCTAATGCTATGATTCGAGTCTCCAAATGAATATGCACTAAAACAGTATATATATATATATATGTAGGTACATATATTTTTATTTATATATATATATATATTTTCAAATCTGTATGCATACTTTACGTATTTTTAAATTCAAAATATTACTTATGGTCGGAAACTTCAATACTTATACATATATTACACTTTTATAGTATTATATAATATATGTATATACATCAAATTCCATTTAATACTATTTAAATATGACAGATATATAATGTCTTTAAAAAATAATGAAAAATGAATGAAATGAAACAGTAAATGTTGTGTCTTTAACCGTTGTGAAATATTTGTAATAAATTAGCATCTAGAACGGTAGATGGCAGCAGTGTTTTTCGAAAAATCTTTTTATCAATCGGGATGACAAGCTTCATATTATTGATATCTGGGCAGAGATTATCAATCGTATACACGCACCTGGCCGATAATATAAAAAAGCGACGCGTTGACAGGTGGCAGCAATAATAGCGTAAATATGGCTGCGCGGACGAGCCTCCGGCGAGAAAAAATCGCCGACTAGAACGTCGCATCAATAATGCACGATGACTTGTTTGCTTGCTTGATGGCAGCGGAGCGTACTTTCATTTGTCGCCTGTTGATCAATGATGCTACTGAGATTGCACTTTGTTGCTTCAATTGTTCTCGTCACGCGTCAATCACTTTGGACGAGGAAGTCCGTAGGTGGAAAATTCATATATTCACCTTAAATATATGATGAGAAGCTCGTATTCCTTAATACGGGAATAGTTGAATATATCCTCATTTGAGTAGTATTACAGCAATGAAATAATCAAATATAAAACATTAATGACGACGACCCGTTTACATATTTACCTGGCTCTAAAGCGTTTACGAGACGGTTGAACATGCTTTATCGCTGACCAGATAACGGTCATAAGCGATGTTTAGTGACTTGCATACGGTTCTCTCGGCGACCGCCATTGTTTACGTTCCAATCATTAACCGCTTCCTTGTTTATACAGGCGTTTATATACCTGGACGCTGACGCTCGTTAAGGCAGTTGCGTCGGAAGTAGACGCTTTCTCATTTGCATAAGTACTACAAAGGTAGATTGCCATCTTCTCTTTATATCTACCCTACAAATACTCGGCAGTTTGCTTACATATACTTTTTTATGCTTCTCTTTGCCCTTGACACGATCTTACGTGGAATATTTGCAATTCGAGTAGCGTTTTAATGCGTTCGATTGTCATCAGTCACACATGAATAATAAAAACGACGTTCGATAGCCCGTGGCGAAATACTTTGATTTTTCTCTTTTTTTTTATTTAGATCGATTATATAGCTCTCGCTCTGGACGAAATACATGTATACATTTTAATAGATGTTCATATATATATATATATGTATGTAATTTTTAAGTTCTGTATGATATATATATATATATATATATATATATAAATACATATATATATCATTTACGTAAGTATAAATTAATAGTTTTTCTACCACCAAGCCGCTGAACGCGACCCCAGTTGTCCGTAGGAGGGGGGCGGCGGAGGAGGCATACTGTAGGAAGGCACGGTAGGAGGAGGAGGAGGGCAGTAGGGTGATGATGAAAATGGCGAACATGAACCTAAAGCGCAGGATGGTGCCGCTGCAATAAAGTCGCTTTGCGCATATGGAGCCATAGCCGCCATGGACGGATGTGGTTGATGATGATGTGGAGGTCTTGGAATTGGATGGCATGGCTTGCCGTCCCTAACTAGCACAGGAACAGCAACCCTTCTTGGTGATGGTAAGGGGTTTATGGCGTCATGTAAGCCCTTTTCTTGTCTTGCCCTTTTCAATTTATATCTATGATTCTGGAACCAAATTTTTACCTGAGTGGGCGTGAGTCGAAGGATGCTTGCCAAGTGCTCCCTTTCTGGGGCGGATAAGTAACGTTGTTGCCTAAAACGACGTTCTAATTCGTATGTTTGTGCCTTGGAAAACAGTACTCGACGCTTTTTCTTTTTAGGAGGACCGTCGGTCTTTGGTTCGTCGGTGGTCGACGTTGAATTCTCTTGATTTTCATTCTCGGAATTTACCTCACTATCATCCTCCTCCTCTTCATCATCTTCGTGTTTATTGGGCGACGAGTCGTGAACAGCGCTACCGTGATCTGACGGGCTCGATGGAGTCTTTCTTTGACGTTGTTCATCTCCGACTATTTAAGTCAAAGGAAGAAATGAAAAAAAGTTAAATAACAGAGCATATAAAGTAATAGAAAAGGAGAGAGCGTGTAATATAAATAAACAGAGCGTAAACTAATTAAAAAATCATTGAATAGCCGGCGAACAGACGGAAGTAATATGGTTAGGCGATGGCGCGAGCATTGTGCTAGTCGAACAATTTCACCGCCGACTAGCCTAATTTACATGCTTTAGAAAGGATATTCGGCTCTTTTGTCGCATTCCCTACTTCTTGCCCGTCTGTTGCCCGGCTACAATGACGCGCACCTGCAGTCGTCGATTGCTGGTGCATGGAAAAAGGTTGATGATCCGCCAGCCATTGAGCGTAGGGGTTGTCTTGTAGTACGCTTGGTGATCCAGTAGAGTTGTTCGGCATATCCAAGATATCCTTCATGCTAAAGCCCAAAGATTTTGCTTGTTGCATCGTAGTCTCCATCTGCGTTATAGATAAGGCTAATCAGTAATTGAAACACCTGTATCAATAAGCGCCTAATCAGCCGAAAAAAGATTAAAAGGAAGAATGAGAAAAGAATGATAGAAAGAGTGAGAGAGAAAAAAAGAATGAATGGAAAAAAGAAGAGGTTATAAGACTTTTAAAGAAAGAAATAATGAAAGAGACCCGCCCTCAATTCGAACGTGAGTGGTCATATTCGAATCGATCGGTCCGATCCTATTTCATTTTGAGAACATTTTGAAGAGCGGCGTTTAGAATAGTTTTCAATCGACAGTCAACAGTTTCATGTACACAAACAAGACACTCATAAGTAGATCCTCTTTATGTGTTCGATTATTACTTTCTTTTAAACCTCCTCCCCTCCACTCTCCTACCTCTTTTTCGTATATATACGACAGAATAAACATACGACTGGGCACGCGGTCAGGACGCGGCCTTTTACAGTCAAAACGTCAAGTTTGTTAGCACTACAAGCTTTTCGTCAACTTTGACCTTTAAACTGACCCTTGTTTTTCATCAAACCGCTGTTTGCTCACGTCTAAAAAATACAACAATCTACGGTAATTTATTTTTTGGTAGGCGTGTACAAATGAGTAAATCTATGTACTATATATGTTAAAAGTATAGTATATGGGCGTATCTAATATATATATATATATATATATATATATATTCATTTGTTTATATAAATAAATTGATATATAAAAAAGTAATAAAAAGAAAAAGTCTTAAAGCAATTATAAAAGAATTAAAAGAGAGCAATTAACGAACGCGTCACTTTCCATATGCATTTAAAATCCAATTCCTATTCGTACAAATTACGTAAACGATCGTTGACTAAATTACATTGATTTACGGAATTGCGAGAATTTCGGTTTCGTTATAATTAGACGAAAACGTTTGGATCAATAAGAGAAATCCATCATTTATTGCGCATGAAATAATAGGCTTTTGTATGCGATATAGTCGCTCAAATAAACGCCCTAAACGCCTCATTGTTCCTTCATAGATCTTTGCACTTATTATTGTAAATAACTTTCCATTGTTTTTCGTGTCATCCGTTTGACTTAGAATTCTAGTAGGCGTTCTTCACAAGACACTCTTATCTGTTTTTTTATCACTTCATTTCTATTATACGACCTTATATCAATTGTCAATTATCATTTTCTTTGTATTACAATTCTGATAAATCTTTATATATCTATCTCTGTTTTTCATATTTATACAATTTACGTGAGCTTTTGAATAGAAGTCGCACTCGCAGTTATAATTCAATAAGATTACAAATTATATGCTTGAATCGTTTCACTAGGCACCTGGGATTTTTTTATTTAGGGCGTTCAAATTTTTATATTTTATGCGGCAATCATTCATACGTCTTCCCTTCTCAATTTAAAGCAGGAAATTGTACATATATACATAAAAAAAAAGAATGAGCCAAAGGAGAAGAAGGGATAAAAAAGAAAAAAAGGATCAAAGTATCATTGAAGAAACATAGCGTTCATCTCTGATACTTGAACAAATAAAGTATAAAATTAAAGATAAAATTTGTAGTGTAAGTAAACAAGAGCTTTGAGTATTTCACGTATAAAAACCTTATCTAAAATCTAACGCTCGCGTTAAAAGACGACTTAAAAAACAAATAAATTGTTGTAACCTTAACATATAAATACATGTTTATGATAAGGAACGATTTATAAATATATCAATATTTATTTTATGGAAGATTTCTCTAAATTATCAATCCTAAATGTTTCAAAAACTTATAAGGAAAAGAAAAGAAATGAGGCTAAAGTAATCTCAATAAAATATCTTACCAATAACTTTCGCAGATTGTTTCAATATCCAGTGTTCAACGACGAATAATGCTTTCATAAGTACGAAACTATTCACATTAAGGGGCGTCTTACACTTAGATGGCCTACTGCCAACGAATCAGATAAGTCAAGAGTCGCACTTGCGAGTTGAGTCGAAGTATAGAATTCTATCTATATTCTCCGTTAGCTATTAATATGCAAAAGGGGAGGCGCTTTACCAACAAGCTGAAAGACGATTGGCTAGCGGATTGTAGGGCAAGGCGACTTAACAAAGACCTCTCATGAGTTGAGTGGCTCTCTCGACCGTTACTTTTGGCCTCGTTTCGTATTTTTTTTTACCCGATTCCGAGGTAATAAAATAGTATAGACGTCTTATCAGAAATGCGCTATAGCTTCACGCTGTAACACCGATTATATTGTTCATCGATTCCTTTAATCTCCTGATAAAAGATTTGTTTTTAAATAGAAATAACTACATGGATATCGAATGGAATCAACTTGAAAATAATATAGATATTTCACTCTCTTTATCCATTCTATTCTTTCTTTCTATCCCTTCTCCACTTACGCCCCCTTTCTCTCTTTTTCTTTCTCTCTCTCTCTCTCTCTCTCTCCCTCCCACTCCCTCACTCACTCTCTGTGTGTCTCTTTCTCCCTCCCAAAACTTCCATTCCCTCCTCCCCCTTTTTTCTCCCTGCCACTCTCTTTTGCTGTCTCTAGCTCGGTCAATCCGTATTTACATGTATATAAGTACGAATCGAGCTTTATTCGTATTACGCATTAATCCTCTAAAGGGCAATTTACACGAAGACGTTATTTACGTAATTTATATACGACGTTAAATCGGGCGCGCGTGTAGTTATGACAAAGATTAATTACAGAAATTAATCACCTTATCTTCTCTTATCAAACTATATTAAACATAAAAAAACCCGTTTACAAATATCGCGGTCAGTAAATTATGAAGAGTAGAAACTCCCTTTTATACGGTACAGATATGCGTCTCGCTAGTCAGACGAGTTTTTGCATTATATATAATATAGTTATAATAAGCGGAAAATTTCCCTTCAAACGAAACAAGCATCAACGCGTGTATAGCGTGGCGTCACTTCAATGGAATCAGTACTTCAAAGCACATATACACCCAACTGCAATTTACTTATAAACCGCATGTACCATGTAAATAACTGCATATAAACACAGAAAAGGAAAAGGAGATGAATCGAGAAAAACCTAATAGGAGAAGATTAGCTGTAAAGATGGCTTGGCATATATAATAACTCCATGGTAACGAGACTGTCGCATAAAAAAATTATTATATAATGCCTTGTCGCTTTTACATTTTCGGTAGGCCTAATGATAAGAGGTCGTACATCACGAACGTTGACGCGATCACTTAGAACAAGTCGTCGAGTTGAAGTATAGCAATTTGCTCTAGAAATTCTTCACATTTACTTACCACTTCTTGTCAAGTTCATTTGCATACGCTCGAGCAACCGAGCAGGTGGACGCCTCTTGAAGACGCCCGGTCTTTGGCACGCCATGCAAATGACGCCCCGCCCTTTCCTTTACAGAACTCTCACATCGCACCTTATTATAAAGTCATATTTAAAGCTGGGTGAGCAAACAGCCGCGCATTTTATGCTAATTAGTTTATGAGTCTACAAACTATCGCCGAGTAATCTTCATGTATATATACATTTCGTTAACCAATTAAATACCTCCTTAAAACGCCCCCAAACGAAAAGTGTATCCAACTGTTTCTTATATAATGGAATTAATTATTCCTATTATTTAGAGGGCGATGAGAAATAGGGAGAAGAAATTCCATATATTGTCTAGGAATGTTCGGGGCGGTTTATTAAAAGATGGTATGCGTATGAATAAATTAGCATAAGAAAAATACCAAAAAGGTAAAAAAATAGGTATTAGGGGAGGAGAAGTAGGCTGGATAGAATCTTATACTCGGCAAGGAAAAATGAAAAAGCGGAAAAGAATAATCAAATTATAAAAGGCGGAAAAGAAGAAAGAATGTAAAAAGTTATTAAAAGATTTTTGTGGAACGGCAAGTAAACAAAGTTAGGAGAAGAGTTATAAGAATGAAACGAAGGGGGAGAGGGAAGGGAATCCAGGGAGAGAGGTTGGGAGAAGAATGAAGTTAGGAGGGAAGGATAGAAAGAGAGAGGGGGAATGAAAAAAAAGAATAGATAGCCAAGGATATAAAGAGAATAAAGAGAGGTAACTAGAACTTACGGAATTGGGCGAAGTATCGTTCCATTCGCAATCGGCTACGCACAAACTTTGTGCGATGTCCATGATCGACTAACTGCGACTGGACGAGATAAAGACGGCAATAAAGTTTCTTATCTAAGACCCCCGACTCAACCGCCACCTTCATTACAAGATTAATTACATTTCTATACAGTGTTAATTTTATACGTCTCGCATAAATACAGTAATTTCAATGCGTCGACCAAGTGCGTAGGGATTTTCTAGAGCGGTTTGCCACTTTGAACGCGGATTAGCGCCGATTGTGATTTGTTTATAGTAAGGATTAACATCAGTCTCGCAGTAGGCCTAGGCCCAGTGCATGTGGGAAATGAAAGACGATACGTAAAGTCACTTACCTTTAAGCTTTTCCGTACACAGCGTACGCGCGTATATATGCCTTCCAAGCAATATTATATATAATATATAATATATAAATACAGTATATACGAATATATATATAAATAAATTTTATATCACGACCTCTTATCATAAGCTCGTTTTCAGTGGGGGTGGCTTTTTAGGAATATTTATTGACGATTTCCGCTCTGTGGCGGCAACTTCAACGCGATCTTCAACGGGCCCAATTGTATAACGACTCTATATGTAAATTAGGTTTATCCGTCAATAGGACATATTAATTGAAGTATAATTATATATATATTACTATATATTGTATTTTTATAAATATAAAGAGAACAAGCTAGTTTTTATCTTATCAAACGGCATCTACACGTCAAACGTAAAATATACTAGGAGCGATTCAGCTCCCATAATTTTAAGTATATGGCGCCTGACAAGGCAGAATTATTGACGCTCTTTGTTTACTTCGGTTTTATAGCCGAATGAGAATACATCCGCGGTCTGTCTGTCTCTCGCTCTCTCTATTACTCTCTCTCACTCGCTCTCTCGCTCTCTCTCTCTCTCTGCAGTTTCTCTCCCTCTTGATCTACTCCTCTCTTCCCTACTTTCCTCTCCGTAGGCCTAATGTACTACGTTTATAAAAAGATTTACACGCGACGCCCGCAGCGTCTATTTACAGATCGGATTTAACAACGTAATTGACACCGACTCTTACTTTTCCCAGAGGCCTTGTTAGAATTGTATAATGTTAACACTTTGCTTTAACAAGGGAGAGGAGGAGCTGAAGGAGGAAGGAATCAGGGAAGAGAGTGGAAGACTACGTTAATTCTTTTTTGTTTTTTTTTTCTCTCCGCCCCCTTGCAATCTAATGTTTGCCAAGAGCTTCGTCTATCCTAGCCCTGTTCATCAACGCGCTTCCGTTCGCAGTTTGTACTGTGAGTTGTGCAAAGAAACGCATATGCTCTCATAATCGCGGCCAGTTGGCGTATGTTTGCACGACTTGACAAACGCGACGCTTACCTGTAACGCCGTCCATATGCCGCTCAGTTAAGCGGTGGGAAAAACATATACGTAAACGTCTAAGACGTTAAAAGATTAAATCTAAAAAACGTCTTGTAAATAACCTTTTCTTTGCCCCTCACTAACCTCCCAAATATATATTCTTTCATCCGCTTTTCTATTCGTCAACCCCATGTCATTCCGTATTCTCTTGTTGTCCCTCTTTTCCTTCTCTCTGTCTCCGACGCTCGGCATCACTTAACGATAATGAATGTATGGAAACGCGTTTCGTTGAAGCGTGTCATGCATCAAACGTTCCATTCATTTATTGTATTCGTGATGATAACCGTAGCAGGTAGATAAAGTAATCGGAACGGAATAATGACAATTCATCCGCTCCTCTATATACACGCAACGCATAATAGTGGACGGAGTTTATATTTATAAATATCTGTATACATTATATAAGCTTGATATATATGTATATATAAATTCATATATATATATATATATATATATAAATATATTTATATATATATATATATAAATGTATGTATATTTATATAATCATATTATCTATAAAAAATATACTATAAAATATATATATATATATACACATATATATATATATATATATAATAAAATTATATAAATATACATAAATTAACGTATACATGCGTATAATAGTAAAAAGATTGCTTTCAGAAAAAACGTCTATCACAAAACGCTTTTCATGTAATTGTAAGTTTGGCCGGGTGAAAAAAAATATCACAGTTCAATTATACAAGATATCGGCCAGGGTGGATGTAAATCTATTGGGTGCAGCGTCGTACAGACCGTCTCCCATGAATTTGTAAAGAACCATAGCCAATTTTTTTCCTGCTTGGACGATGGGGGACGTAGATGTTAGAGGGGACGGCATGACACCAAAAGTGTGCCATAATAAGGGAACAGCGTGAAGGGTTACTGCTTTCGGTTTTTTGTTGTAAACCTCAGATACAAGATATGCGACTCTATCGACAAGATCCGGTTTAAGTCTGGAATTAGCCCCCTGAGCTTGATTCACAAACGGCTGTAATAATTGAGCGGCGTCTAAATTCATAACAGCATCTAATGCATTGGTCGCCGCCCGTCGAGTCTCTCTCTGTTTGCTAGCCATACCTAAAGTAATAGCCCCGACTAACTGACTTAATTGGCCGGCTGGTGACATCGACATATATTCGTTGAGCAGTTCGACGAGTTCGGGCAGAGTGTTCAAAGTGTAAAGCGTGACTTTAGAATTGCTGTCCCTTGCACACGACGCTAGTTTGTCGAGAACCCTGGTCATATGAACGCCGATGGAAGCTGGTCGATTTCTAGCCAAATTCAAAACTTTTTCCAGACCTTCCTGCCTCTCCCTCCAGTCTGATGCAGCCAACTGCGATGTTAGCGCTTTTAATTCATCAGAAGTCAATTGCTGGCCTTGACTTCTGTTAGACGACGTCACCGACCTGCTTCGTTTGGCCGATGACGCAGCACTAGCTGGTTCAGACATCGATTCAGGAACACGCGCCTTATATTTATCTATCCTCCCTCGAACAGCTTTTAAGCGATCATCAGGTACATACTTATTGAGCATTCTTTCGAACATATCGTGATCGGCTAGGAAATGCACTATTTGCGCCGCTTGAGTTCTTGTATCACTAGCGCCATCTTGTAGCATGTGGACTGTTGCATTAAGGAGACGCTCACATAGTTCAGATTTTTCAAATATTTTGGAAACTCCGGCCCGTCTTACTAAATTTAGCAAAGACCTCGCAGTAACACCCCTAATAACCGGATTCTTATGCTGCATTCCAAATCCTATTAGGGCGTTGGCACAGCGCAGATGGTTCTGGGTATTGTCGACGATGGCATCCAGAGCCTCAACAACAGCGTTCTTTATAAATTGATTCGATTCCGCATATTTCAAAAGTAAGGTTTTAGTACAAAAATCCATTTCAGCATCCATACACTTAGGGGCGTTCGAAAATAAATCTTTTAGACAAAAAACTGCTGATCTGGCAACTTGAGATCTTAGATTTTTTGCTTCAGCACATATACCCAAGGAAATTTGGTGCGTCTTAAATTTTAAACAATCTGTGTGAAATCGAGCAATTCGCCTAAAATCTCTTATTCCTTCTGTTTTCCTCTCCCATTCCGAGCTTTCTAGTTTACCTAAGGCCATGTCCACTAATTGATGAGGAGAAGATGATGACGTAAAGGGTTTAAGAGACAATTCATCGTCTTCATGTGATGAGCAATCTGCGCCTTCAGCTTTATCTTGGGAATCTTGTCTTACGGTAGAGTTCTTTTTTCTTAAAGCAGGAGAAGGTGGTTGAGCCTTAGGTTGTTTTGTTACTCGACGTCTATCCCTACCAGGATGTGTTGATTTTGAAGGTTTAACTATTTCTTCTAATTCATTCTTGTCAGGTTCAAAGACCCCTTTACCTTGTAAGGCTATGTTGTTCAGAGCTGCTGAATCAGCTTGTTCTGAACTACTTATTCCTGCAGTTGAATCTCGAGCCCTATGAACAGGTTTTCGGGCAATTGGCGTGCGAGATGTCACGCTAGTCGTACTTTCTGTAATTTCGTTATTCAAACCGATACCCGTCCCTTTAATACTGGCCATAAAATCACTATTCATATTAAAAGTAACACCTCCGTGAGGTGAGAATGTGGGAGTTGAGGGCCCTTGAGGTGGATTGCCAGAAGGATGATTGGTCATAATAGGCGCTGGTCTATTATGTTTTTCAGCTTTTTTCATGGAAGCGCTGTTCCGAATGCCGGTCAATGACCTCATCATTTCATCCTCATCCTCTCCACTAATAACCGACTCTTTTTCAGCATCTGCATTAGGTGATCTACCTGATGGAGGTCTCCTCGCCGCCGATGGAAGACGTCCATTCTTAGTAGAATTTGATCTGGCCAATATAGCTCTTGTGGGTATTGGTGTTTCCCTTTCTTGTTCGGCAGCCGACATGGGTATTGGATCAAGAACCCGTCTCGGCGTAGGAGTAGGAGTCTGAGCCGTTTGTGAACTTGCTGAAGCTATTGATCTGGCTTCTTCAAACATTCGAGGGTCAGGCCAAGAAGAAGAGAAACTAAGACGATCTCCGTCCTCACTTGCACTCCATGGTAACTTGGATTTTGATTTGGCGCTGATAATACGACGAGGTGTGTTAGTACTCTCTCCTGGAGTAGGTGTCGAACGAGCGCTGAAAGAAGTTACGGACTCAACTTCAACATCGGTTGGTATCGATCTCATAGAACGCGCCGAATTTGTGCTACTGCTGGCTTGTTCTATCCAGTCGATATCTACACCCTGAAATGAATTGCGATTAGACAACGGCGTAGCGTATTCAACTAATCCGTTGGTATTGATTTTTGGTAAAAGCCGCCTAGCCAAACGAGCTTGGACAGCAGCCAAAGCGCCTTCGCCATTACTGGACAATTCAACACTATCAACGGCGTTGGCTAATGGTTCTCTTCTTCCGGCTCCCATGCTCTGGGCAATTGACGAAAAACACTCGAGAGACGCTAATCTAACTTGCTTTTTTGGATCAACAAGAGTATGGGCGATTAATTGGCAAATTCCTCCAAGGTTTAGATCATTAGAAGGAAATCTTAATACAGTTGCAATGATCACATTTAATGTCTCCTGTCTAATTTTATGATTCTTATGTCGGAGATTGTCAGCCAAAAAAGGAACTACAATTTTTGGAGTAAGGGCATGCATAAGAGTAATAAATCCCTTCATAATACTAATCTTCATTAGAGCATCCGGCATTCGTTTAGTAAAAGCTAATACAAACGAACGAGTATAGTGTTGTGCTTTTGGACCCAAAACGTTCACTAACGATCCTATAGTATCCAAAATTAACATAGTTAATTTAAAATGTGGATCGTCAAGCATGTTATGCAGGAAAGATATGAAGCCCATTAGGTGAGGCTGCAGGCAGTGTACGCCAATATCATCCAATTTTGACACAGTGGCGAACAATTGTTCCATACCAGTTTGGCGGATAGAAGTACTTTTTGTATTGTAGACTTTTGTCATTATGTATTGAGGAATTACTCCAAATTCCAATTTTTCTTCTTCCTCTTCTTCCCCATCATCTTCATCTGCCGAAAAATTTGAATACTGAGAATTTATCCAAGCCTGATCGCCTGTCCCTCCCTCTGCTTCGTAATAAAAACTTTGCTGCGTGTGGGGCATTTGTTTAATGTAGGCCGAAAATTGTGAGTCTCCGACCAACTTTCTAATATGACCTAGCGCCGTCAGAACGACCCTTTTCATAGCAGCGTCGCGTTCGCGTAAACATTGACATAGCGACTGAGCGAGTTTAAAGAAGTTTTCGTGAGCGAATTGGTCGTCGTGTAGGATGATCGGTAGAGCTATAATTGTCTCTCGTCTAATATGAGTGTCCGGGTTAGATAAGCCATAGTTAACGATAGCCGATATCAGCTCCTGGAGGTCGGACGTCAATGACATATAGTGCTTTAAAGTTTGAGTTACGGCTTTACGAATAGCGATGTTACTATCGCCTATATTTGGTATCAGCTTCTGCATAAGAACAGACATACATGAATCCACGTTTTCTTGTTGGGCTAATGTGTGATCTATCAGTTCTATACATTTCTGCCTAACATCTGATTGAGGGTCGCACAAAGCTGATGATAGACTACTGTAGACAGCTGCATTAGTACAATTTCTAAAAGGCAGGTGTCCTCCGTTTGTTAATGCCTGCGTATATAATCGATCAAGTATTTCCAATTTGTAGCTATATGTATCGCTTTGCAATTTTGCTAAGTCATCTTCTTCCATACTTACTGCCAAACTAGATCGGCAATGCGGATAAATTCTGTGACTCTGGTGCCTCGCAGGGAACGGTGCCAGTTTGGCTTGCACCGCCATTAAATGTCACTGAATTCGAGAGTCCACAATCTGACACAGTAATGTTCCATTCATAAGATATTCCAAAGACGCATTTCCAGTGAGAGAGCCTTAATCTATTTTTATTAAATTCGACTGTCATCCGCTAGAAACTGTCATCGACTATTTGTTGTTTTTCTGCGGCTGATCAGAATTCCGCCATCTTGCATAAGTTGCTATGTTGCTAAGCAATCGATATTGACCCTATACGTAACCGGAAGTACACTGGTCCTAAATAATGTACGGTGTTTTGCTTTTTTTCAGCTGACCTATGCGATTATATATGTATAAATTCTGAAAAATAACATAAATTGTTGCGAAAAAGATTATTCGAGCATTTAATATCAATTGATGAGTTGTTATTTGCCATTTATGAATGTCTTAATACCAGGCTAGTGTAAGAAAACTGGTACCATGAGTATTTTGTTGTTTCGCTTTTAAACTAGTTACTATTAATAACATACCTTTATGAATGACAACTTTGCATTGGGCGAAAGCTCAAGAATAATTACTCTTATTCTTAGCTTTATATTCTTGATCAGCCTATTAGTTATTTTTTTCAAAGTATTTTATGACATATATCAAAGGTATTCAACGTCACTACATTTTCGGAGCGATAATTAATTTATTTTGCAAATATTTTCAGCTCATTGAGACCTACACGGCAAAATATTAAGCCAAATATCAATGTACTTTTAGAGGAAAGAAACTATACTCGTGTCTATAATCCTATAAGTTTAAGAGTAATTTCTAACATTAGCATAGGTCGTTCTGAAAATAATCCCCAAACAATTGAAATTGACGCTCATAAAGAATGCACTGTATATAGCTTTCTGGGATCTGAGGATACTATAGAATTATTAAAATTGCATACTAGTCGATTAGAAGCGAAATGCTTCGAAAAAAAAACAGTGGAAGCTGGTTGTAGTTCACTCTCCTTTAAAGTTGAAAAGAATCAATTACACCTGCTGTTTATTGTCTCTAGCAACAATACAGAAGAAAGTAGACCTTATAATGAGTCGATAGATCAAGATTCAAGTTCAGATAATCAAATTAATGATCAAAGTGAAATTTCGGTAAATTAGTACAAATACTTGTTCGAACAGATATATACATGAATATTGCGTAACATTGTTGGCAGATAACGAAGCAGTTGCTGTCGTTGAAAGAGGGCAGTTCACCGAGGCATTACGTGATGAATAATAAAGAAATAGTGAATGAGGCGAGAATTTTGTATGGTTCGCTGGGAGAGTGCAGTGTTTGTATGGATGTAACCATTTCCAGAGCCATACTTCCTTGCAGACATGCCTGCTTGTGTTCATATTGTTGTGTACGAGTTGATAAATGTCCTATGTGTAATAGTCCTATTTCCTCCATTTTAAGGCTTGACTGACGTCATTTGATATTATTAAAAATAATATCTTACATCATCTACATAACAATTGTAATAACTTAAATCCTGAGATCTTTATGAATAAGCAAGAACAAATAAATTCTCACGAATCGAAACAGATTAAATCTAATAATTTTCAAACATCGATAAGTTATGCTTTATGTATTATAATAATAGATTGTACGTTTGGTCCTGAACAGTTAAATATTAACTCGTCGTCTTTTAGAATTCATTCAATTATTTTGGAGAGGGCTCTACTTCATGTTTATAATACCTTATATGACAACGTTGTTGGTGTGACAATTCTTCAATTTTTAGATGCGGCGAAACAAAATCTATCTAAAAGAAGTTCCCTAGCCACTATACATATAGTCTACTTTAGAGGGAAGAGTCCAAAGAGGGGTTTTGAATTAATCCCTACCAACTTGGTACAAATAGAGTTGGATTCTCTTATACGTAAAAATCCCAATACGGTTAGCGACCGCATGAAGTATAAAGTAAGCATTGCTGAATTGAAACGTCCCAAGAAGGAAAACCGTTTGACTGTAAAGAGGCACCGCAGTGGATCTCCACGTTCAATAGCCGCTTCAATGTTTGCTTTCAGACCCTCGCTTAGTATTAATCTTATCGATAATAATCTTCATAGGAGTATATTTGAAAAGCCTCCATCTAAATCATCAATATTTAAAGAGGAGTGCTTAACTATCTGTTCTAGATTATACTTGCTCTTAATTTGTCATATACCGTTATTATTAGCCCTTTTTTATGCTTGTTTAATCGGTAATTTGATTCGTTTATACAAATTACTTTTTAAGTCAAAACCGACCCAGTCAATACCGGAAAAGCCTATGATATTTAAATATTAGTTCTATTCATAATTGACCTAAATAAACACTGAACAAAGACAAAATTGAATTTGGAATTGTATTCATCACTACTCAATAACTGTTTACTAGATAGTAGAGCTAAAAAGATAAATTTTTATATATATATACTGTATATAGATTAAGTGTATATATAAATATATATATGTTAATTTAGGCTTATATATATACTTAAAATACTGTATATATGTATATATGTAGGAACAACTGTATAATGATTTAATTTAGATAAGAACATATAAGATTGTAATACCTTAGGGAACAAACAATAGTTTACCCGATTGGTAAGGACAGTCCAGTAAAATATGATACGCTTTCTCCGTCAAAGAAATAGCTTCTTTAAAGAAAATGTAAATGACTGCACCTGAGAAAAGCAGTTTTACAAATTTAATAGATGAATATTTTTTTTGTAACTTTTTCTTTGTACTCTTTATTAACGGAATCAGGCGAAAATTGTTACAAGCCATCACAGTCGGAATTTGCAATAGTACAAGCACATCTTGTGCACACTCTTACGGGACTATCCCATCCTCTTTCTGGAACAGGCAATCTATCTTTCGAACAATTTTCGCAGACTCCTTCACCGCATGAACGGCAATGATGAATAGGATTCTTCAAATTAAAAATATTATTGCAAATGATGCAACCTTTGCAGTCGGCATCGGGAGTCCAATAAGAAGGTCTCGCAGAATCTTTAACGACATCTGTTAGAGAAATGGTATTTAGTCAATAGCCTTGTGAAATACGTTATGCTTAAAAACTACTTACCCTTTGGATACTCCATTGCTGAAGCGACTACTCCTAAGGTAGAAGAAATAGCCTCTCCAAGTTTCCTGGCCCTCACATCTCGCGGATCGACAGTTGATGCTACGGAGAAAACGTAAGGGTGGTCAGTTGCTCCGAACGATTGTTTTTCATCTTGATTGAACGTACCTAATTTCTTTGAGTCAGGAGAGCTGCAGTCTTTACAAACCCTAACAGGTTCTTGGCCCCATCCACGCTCTGGTACAGCTCGTCTGTAAGAGGAACAATCGTCGCAGAATCCTTTACCACAAGCTCTACAATGGTGTATGCTTTCCCTACCACCAAAAATTACTCCACAGTTTGAACAGGACTTTATTTTTGAATTTGGTATCCAATATGCAGGAGCTATTTGGTCATTAACGAGGTTGGACACTGCTTTAGCTGGCTTAGCTGATAAGTTAGCAATTCCTTCCGACACGTAGCTTAGACCGTCTAATAGCTTTTGGGCAGCATTATGCGACGAACCGAGTATTCTATTGCCGTCAGGCCATACATGTTGTATAACAGTTCGAACTGCCGATTTGTCAGGATCTTCATTACCGTACCAGAATTGCCTCGAGCGATAAATTACCCCACACTTATTACACTCCAAAACATAACCGGACCAAGCAAATTTAGCCAAACCAACCCACGAACTATCCTGTGAACCAGAAGTTTTAGGTACCACCAAACGATTATCTCCGCAGTCGTAGCAGTGTTTGCAGTAGAACATTTTATTATCGAATTGGGACTGAAAGATGCATCTCTTATTACATGAATGTGGAATGTTCGAGTGATTAACGGTCTGAGTACAACGGAAATTGCATGAAAGGCATGTTGCGGTACAAGTAAAATATTCGTCAGGGAAGGAACTTGGCAGTAGTTTTTCAATCTTTCCGCTAAATTTCTCATTCAACGTCTGTAAATAATAGTGTTTAAAGAAAATAATTATATAAGTTTCTTGTCACCTTCAGAGCTTGTAGTATGACTGCAGGTCGTCGTTTTGACCTTACTGAATCGTCTTTCAATCTCGTTATAACAGCGTGACGAAGAACTATTTAAAAGCGTTCAAAGTTAATCTTATAAGCCGTAAAATTACAATTATATTAAGGATTATGTTCTAGATAATCTCTTACATTGGAATTCAGTGGGAGGAGTTATCGTCCTAGTTCCAACATAGTCAATTGCCCGAAAAGCATCAACTCTTAAATCTAACTTTGCGAAGCGTTTTTTTATTATTGAAGATGAAGTGTTACATGCCATTGAACCTGGAAATAAAGGCAGTAATAATTAACAATTGTTAATAAATGTCTTTTGTATGTATTTGTATTGCTTATTTACTTTTTCCTATTACATCTGTGTCGCGAGTTTCATGAAATATAATGACAGCCGGTCCCAAATTAGAAATTTCCATATCTTCTAAGCTGCAGCGCCTTTGGAGGGCTTTCAATTCCTCGCTGAAATGTTTCTCATAGGCGGAACTAGCATCAGCCAGGAACTTAAAGAGATCAGTATGCAAACGTTCGGCTCTTGTCCGATAGATAATAACATCTGAGATGGCCAGAACTTTAAGGAGTAAACGAGTTCTTTGATTGGAGTTTTCAGAGATACCAAGTAGGCCTTCAGTATCAATCAACAGAGCGCCGTTCAGTGGGTCATATGCTGCCCAGACCCCAATGGTACACGAATCTGGATTGGAGCTTGTTTGAAATACTTCTCTTCCGCCACAAAAAGTATGGTTTAATGTGTAGCTTTTCCCGTCGCCCGTGTTACCAAATATAGAAACAACCTATACAGATAAAAGGTATTAAATTATCATTGTAAAAAAAAATGTTTTATATTACTTTAAACTGATTCTCCTCCTCACAACCTAAATGTTTACAAAATTCCTCGGTATTCTTCACCAGAAGCTTTTCATTATTGTCGATTAACATGAAGCTCTTAATAGAGTCTTGAAAATCAACGGTATCGTCATCAACAGAGAATGTCCGTTTCGGGGTTGAAGATGTGTCATATGACACAAGATTCATATTTGCTTTCATAGTATTGGCAATGTCGGGTAATTCCATTATGGCTTGCTCGAAAGGTTCGGGAGAGGACAAAGAAAAATAGGGGTCATCTAAGATATTTTTTTCATCGTCGCATCTGGGCTTGATACGCTGTTCCTCGGGTGATAATAATAAATCAGTTGGGGTAAATGTTTTCGTCTTATGCTTCTTTGTTGAATTAGTGCTATGCAGTTGTTTAAAACAAGCGAAACAGAAATTTTTCTTACAGATTTCGCAAGTTACGTCAGCGTAGTTTCGATCATCGCAACCATTTTGACATAATTCATGTTGTTGGGGAAGGGGAGCAGGGTTACGGTCATGAAAAGCTTTAGTTTCATCTTTGTGAAGAAATTTTGTGCATTGTTTACACTGGAAGGTATTGCAATTAGAACAAAAATAATCAGCTGTCGCGTTCTCGATTCTGCAGTCCAATTTCTCTCCACAGAATTTGATTGAAGATCTTGTTTTGCGCTGAATATTCGATTTTTGTCTTGTGGACATTATCCCATAAGAATACTTGTAAAATCTCCACTCTGGAACGCAAAATTTTTTATATTGATAAATTGTATGAATCACTGGTAATAAGGGTCAAGGTTGTGATTGTTGTTGTAAGACCAGGAACTATAGAATGTCCCTATAACCGAAGTAGGTTATTTACACGGAGCGGACATTTTGAAAACCTAAAAATATAATGTCTCAAACAAAATATTGTGCTTTACAGTGTTTGCATACTTATGAAATAATTATAAAATTATTTAAAGTCGTATGGTTGCAAAACAAGAAATTACATATTAACATTTGTTGTTTTTCACTACAAACAGGAAGTGTCAAGCGGAAGTCGTCTTGCAGCGACACCTGCAAAGTCAACTTGAACAATCCACTGAAGATTGAGAAAATGCAGTGAAAATATGTCGAAGAGAAGAAATAAAGACGGTGATGTAGGCGATAGCGACGATGACTCTTCATGGAGTACCGCCGATGAGGTGATTTTGGCAATATGAAAGAAAATTGCAATGGTTTTGCTGTTTCTGTTGAATGATCAGATTCTTCGGAAAGATCAAATTGCTTTAAGCATTTACTTAATTTTTTCGTTATTTTTTGTAGGCTATTGCATAAGTATATTAAAATATCTATTAATAGTTTTTATTCATGCAGTGTCCAAAAAAGAAGAAAAAAGTAGCTGAAACTACCAGAATTTCTGAACCGGAAGAAGGTAAGAGTACAAGTTTTTTTCATAACCGTATTCTAAGTTCATATTCAATTAAAGGGGAATTAAGTAGTTCTTCGTCCGACATTGAAAGTAATTTTGATGACGGTTATGACGAAGGATGCGTTGGAGATGAAGCTGACAAAAAATTTTTGGAATCACTAAATCAGAGACAACGTGAAGCAGAAATTTATCGTCGAATGCAAGAGCGTGAAAGGCTAAGAATACAACATGAAATAAAGTTAAAACTAAAGAAGGCAAAAAAGCCAAAAAAGGAAAAGGGTGGTAAAGGTTCAGCTCCATCCAAATCTAGCGGAAATAAAAAATCTTCAAAGGCAGCAAAAAGTAAAGAAAAATTTCAGAATGAAAGACAAATGGGTAATTATTTTTTAATGAAGAGAAACTTTATACTAAATTTTTACTCTGTAAAGCTATGGAACAGAAAAAAAATAATAAATTCTCCATATTTGATGAATTAAAGGCTTCAAGACTAAAAGTCATGGAGAAAGGTTAGTGTAACGAAATTCAGTATATATTTTCTAATAAAAATTGTCTGTTTTCCTAAAATTTAGAAGCTGAAAAAAAGAAGAAAGCAGATAGACTAAGTGTCAAAGATGTATATGATTCTGATAGCGATGACTCTTTCGAAGAAAAATCCAGACAATCTCATAGTAATAAACTGAGGGAAAGGACAGCAGTTAGAGCTCCTTCTTACTCTTCATCATCCGTGTCTTCAGAGAGTGAGAGTGAGGGCCAGAAAGCTCGCGAGATCATAAATAAGTAAGTAATTTCTTTTCAGATTGAAAGAAACAATTATTTTTAATACGACAAATAGTGAAAACAGATTTGTAGAAAGTAACGAGGAACTGTCAAGAATAAAATTAAGTAGGATTTTTTTAGAAAAATGGTGTCATATGCCGTTTTTCAAAGAAACTGTAATAGGATGCTTTGTTCGAATAGGTAAAGTAGAATTTTACAAAGTAAAATGCTTTTGTGAATAATAGTTAAATTTATTCAAATAGGAATTGGTAATAGTCCAAATGGAAAGCCAGCCTATCGCGTGGCTGAAATTAAGGATGTTGTTGAAACAAATCATGTATATAATTTAGGTTCTACACGCACAAATAAAGGCTTAAAGCTTAAAAATGTGAATGCCGAAAGAGTTTACAGGTACATTATTAAATGTTAAGTGAAGTTGTCATTTTGAATTTTGTCTAACAACTAATTTACTTAGACTTGAGTACGTTTCGAATCAAGATTTTACACCTGAAGAGTTTGCGTTGTGGAAGAGCCAAATGGAAGATAATTTTGTGCACTTGCCAAGAGAAGAAGATGTGAAAAAGAAGGTGAGCTAAAGATAAAATTACTGCATATTAAAGGACTATATGTTGAATTATTATTAATGAATATAATATATTTATTGGAAAACAGATAAAACATATCGAAAATGCTATGAATTATCAGCTGGAAGATAAAGATATTGATGTTATGCTTAAGGAGAAAGAGAGGTTTAAGAAACGACCTCATAATATGGCTATGAAAAAAACCCATTTATTAAAGGAGATAGAAGTTGCAGAAAATGAGAAGAATATGAAGAGAGTTGAAGAGGTTAACTCAGTAATCTTAAAAAAGAATATTTTAATATACTCTCTGGAACTTTTCAGATTAAAGCCGAACTTAGTGAACTGCAACAACAAGCGGACGAAATTGATGAGAAAAGGAACAGCTCTATACAAAAAGTGTCAGAAATTAATAAAAAGAATAGATTAAATAATTTAAAACGAGCCGAAGACGCTCTAAAACAAGAAAAAGCCGAACAAAAGAATGCAAAGGCTGATCCGTTCACAAGAACTAAAGGCCGACCAACAGTTCTAGTAACCAAGTCAAAAAATCCAGAAATTAAGGCTCAGATTAAGCAGAGATATATGAATGCCTTTAAACCTATTTCAACTGAAGACATCGCAGGGAGTTTAAAAAATTCAAATTCATCTGTATCTAAAACGTCTGCAGACAATAAGGTAACTATTACCAGCTGGGTATTTTTCTTTCGAGTATTCATGTTTAATAAATCATTTACAGTCTGAGGAAACTATGAGTCTATACGATGCTCACAATTTTAATGTGAATATTGATATTGACTTGCCTGATGTCGGTAAGTCATTAAAAGTAAATCCAAGCAAGCTGCAAAATTAGTTCGAAAATTCAAACGCATTTAGATTTGGGCTTTAAATCGAATCCAAAATTTCGCTGATAACAAGAGTGAGCGTCTACTTATTAGAAGATTAAAAGTGTCAGCATCTCCTGTCTAAAAAAAACTACTTGTTTTGATTGTAATTGATTGTAATATATTTCGTTTACGTGTTATAAAAATGCAGAATTTGTTAAAACGGATTTTGAATAAAACGCGCGCGACCTTGACCTAATTTTAGCTAAGGTCGCGAGAAACTGCGAGATTTTTGTATACATTTGTCATAAATAGAATAAAATCAAGTTTCTACCGAGTATTACATCAAGTTCGTATCAGTATAACCGTCCATACCAATCTATGAATAGGATATGATACGGCTTTAGAAGGAATTTATCCGATTGATCAACTATTTACTTTTAAAATATATTTTAAAATTTTCGCCTGATAACGTAAGATCTGTAATGGGTGCACTGAAATCAAAATTTTTCAAGATCGCCAAAAGGTCACGTAAAACGAATTCAGAGTCTACATGTCAGAGATCAGAATCTATTGAACGATCCTCGGAGAAATTTTCATTAAAGATCTTCAAAAAACTAAAGCATCCCAACTGTACGACTACCACTGTTGTTCGAGGAGTACCTCATATGATTCGGCAATTCGAAGTATCAATTGATGATTCAGAAGATGACTCTCTAACAGGTCTAGTAACGACTCACTTTAGAGTTGACGTTACTCCAATTGTTGTAGAATTTAACTCGAAGACAAATGGACCAGTTCATACGCAAATTGATTATGTTCACTGCCTAGTTCCCGATTTGTTGGATATTACGAATTGTCCTTACTATTGGGGAGATATGGACCGTTATGAAGCGGAAAAAGAGTTGTTATCGAAGCCAGAGGGTACTTTTCTACTAAGAGACTCTGCTCAGGAAGATTTCCTATTTTCTGTCTCTTTTAGACGATATTGCCGAACTCTTCACGCAAGAATTGAACAGTTTGATCATCATTTCAGTTTCGACTCATTAGATTCAGGAGTCTACCAATCAAAAACGGTATGCGGTTTGGTAGAACACTATAAAGATCCCGAGTGTTGCATGTTCTTCGAACCGATGCTTACCGTTCCTCTTTTCCGTCAAAATCCTTTTTCATTGTGTCATCTAGCAAGAGCCGCTATAGTTAATTGCATGAAATATGTCGATATTCAACATCTACCTTTGCCAGCCAAACTACGGGAATATTTAAAATATTATCACTACAAACAAAAGATGAAAGTTCATAGACTAGATAAAGAATTCGAAGGGATTGACGAAGCTGCAAGATGTGTGCGATATGTTGATAAAATTTAATTTTACTGGTAAACGTAGATTGTTTGCCAAGAAACGATCGTGATTAGGGTTCTCACACTCATTACATATAAGTTTGTGTTATATAAATAGCCTAAGGAATTAATGGTGGTGACTTTATCCTCAATCATTCCGAATATTTTATTGACAAAGACAATTCGTAAAAAAGAAATATTGTTTTTCTACCATGAGGAAAGAAAATATGAATATTTTTAAAATGGAAGATAAAAAACTTTTACCTATTGATTTTTAGGATATTAAATAATGTAATCTTTTTTCTTTTCTTTTTGTTTTTACATAAGAAAAGCAATCAAAACAACCAAAAAAAAAATATGTTCCTGTCAGTAATTTCGTTTTTTATTTGATAAATTTTGTTTGACAAATTCATCTTTATTGAGTCAGTCTTACTTGGTTATTACAAAAGTTTCTAATCCTTTTGAAAGAGTATTTATTTTATTTTTAGCAATTCAATTTCTTTTTTCAAAATGTTACAGCAAATATTTTGAGAGAGAAATATTGTAATAATTTCAATTGAAATTGTAAACAGGAAGAAGACAAAATTGAAATATGATTAGGTGAGGGGGCGTTAGAGGACAGTGGGTGGTGATCACAAGCCGAAGAGAAATATATATTTATACTGCACATACATACGCTATACTATATATACTCATTTTTTTTTTTGCTTTATGACAATATTTTACTAACCTATCGTCTTTTATTCACATAGTCAATGGAATGAAAAGTTTCATTAGTCGTTGAAATAAGGCAATTATGTTTGAAGTATGGAATTATTTCAAAAAACTTAGATTAAAGCTATTAAAAATTCAATATTTCTCTAACATAATTCAAATAAGACACTTATCGAAGAAAATATTTCAGAGCTATATAATTGATTCTATTAACAACCGATTTCAAAGTTTATTGTTTCTTATTGTTAAGTTCAAGATTTAAAACAAGAGAACTAGAATATGAACTTTTTGAATGTACCACACCTGAAATATTATTTGTTTTAAAGCATCTTTGCTACAAGATTCTATTTTTGAAAATATTCGCACAGAATATATATATATATACATCTTTTTGTGTTCTAACTTCCCTTTCTTCCCAAAATTTACTGCTTTTCTATCTTTCTAAATAGTATAGTTAGTGTTCAAACGAAGGCAAACTGGTGGGACTTTCAATGGAAATTTAAATTCGTTAAAAAAAGTAGTTTATCTTTGATTTATGTTTTATTTCTATGGCGGACAATTGATTTTTATCCATTTTTAATTTACTAATTTAAAATTCAATTTGCTAATTCTTTTAATAGAAAAAGATTATTGATGGGACAAAATGTTTCTTTGCTTTTACATTCATAAATTGACGTTGTGTAGATGTCGCTCCAAAAATTGACCGGTCTTTAAGAAGATTTGACATCTTAAAATATAGTATACGTTTTTCACGATTCGTTTCTGAATACACGAAACCGGTGGGGGTCAAGGTCAACTCTCTGAACGACGAGTTGGCAAATACGATCGACGATTAATTTGTTTTTAAAACATAATGACTGCGTAATCTAACATTAAAACTCCTTAAATATGATTACGTTATAATGGAAAATTATGTGTTAAATCACAAAGAACTCGAACGTATTCTCCATTTGATGAACAATGTCTTCTTGGTTCGGCGATCGTGTTGGGCAGATTACTGGCCAAATTTCTAATTTTACTAAGGAGGTGCTAACAGAAGGAACAGAGGAAGTTGATGGTAATGCAAATATTTTCGTACAGTTAATCGCGATTGCTTCAAAAATTCCAATTTTTACAAATAGTTAATAACTGATATCCAGCACAACATTACATATTTCTATTTATACAATCTAATCATTACAATAAGTCAATACAACAATTGCTTTAAGCTTGCGAAAACAATAAACAAAGAAAAGCGTAACTTTCAAAGTACCAGACACATTTTTGTTAAGATAGAAGGTTTAAAAAAGTGACGTTACTTAACTAAATTCATATATGGTTTGCGTTGTTGACTCATATACAACGTGGTTATTTAACACCTAACTAGAGATAAACTAAGATCTACTATATAATAAAAAAACATATGAAAGAAAATATGATAATTTATCAATTAATCGTTGAGAATTTTTGAAATTACTCTAAAATATTGAAAACTATATATATTGACATTTTTTATTCTAATTCTCCTACTGAACGAACAGTTTGAACTGATTTCTTTTTATATTTCATTATAGATTATCAGTCAGAGCTTCGGCTTGCTAAGAAACATATTTCCGATTTGGAGGCTCAATCGTCTTCTCAGAAGTTGGAGGTTTGATATCCTTTACATATATATACTGTATATATATTATTTAATCTTAAATCTTGCTACTGCCATCTACCGTTTCAATTAGTAGTTACCTTATAAAACGATGATAGTAGTATAGGTCGCCGGATGATAACAGTTATAGGTTTAATGGACCGAATGACATGTAGAAAGATTACAATTCGATGATGATTTATGTCGTTATCAGCAACATTTTCAATATGTTAGACTCTCATAGGGAGTGGCGGGGTAGTGAATTGTTTTAGTCAATATCTATGATTATATATATATATATATATATATATATATATATATATATTCCTATATATTATGTAATTAGATGTTTTAGGTATTTATACACTAATATACATCCATATATACATACAGATAGATATAGATATAAACTTTTGGCTCACGTACATAAATGTAATTGATTGTGTAATTTAACTATCACAATGATATATTTTCCATTCGTGAACGACAATCTTAGTTTGTTGATGATAACACTATCTACTTTGGCAGGTGAATAGAATAGAGGAAGAGAATGGAGAACTTCGCAGTAAATTGGAATCTGCTGAATTAGAAGTTAAGAATGTAGCTTTAAGATATCAATCCCTTTTGAGTAAAAAAGAGGTTAGAGACAGTGTTTTATTCTTTAAAAAAAAAAAACTATCAAGATTGATAATATAAAATATTTCTGCCTTTTCTCATTCTTTCTCGTGTTCCTATTTTTTATTGTTCTTCGCAAAAATTTTGCACGTACTCTCTCAGCCTCTGAGGCCATAAGTTTTTCAATTCGTATTTTATGGTATATGTGTTATCTCCACAAGGGAAAAAAATGCACCAGTTGCTAATCAGGAGTTTCGAGTCCAAGACGTGATAGTCGATAAGTCGTGAAGCTTGCTGATAAGTTATAAAACTTATTAGAATTTTTTTCTATCGGTAATAATTTTTAAGTTAGAAAATCTTTATTTCGGCTTCGCGCTGATTACTATTCTATTTATAGATTGATATTTAATTACAAACTTTTTATACATAGACATAGGTCTTTTTATTTGTGTACATCTATCTTGTATAGATAGTTTGAATTTTCTCTAATTCGACTCATCAATATATATGTATATTATATGCGTTTGTGGGAGAACGTCTCTCAAAAATATTTTAAATTTAATGATAAGATAAAAATTCTAGATTAGATATAAGAGAACTTTGAGTAGTAACGTCGTACTCCACCGTTTTTGAAAAGGAAATGAATTATCCTTATCAATTAAGCTTGAGTAAGATAAGGCAGAAATATTTTTTTTCAAAATGAACCTATTCAGCGTTAGTCACTAACGGTCAGATTTCAAATAACGACAGGCCGAAATCGTATTGTTGAAGGAAAAGCAGAACGACTTAGAGAGCGACTTCACCCACTCGATTTCAGAATCTGGTCCAACCTCATTGTCTTTAGGTTAGTAGAAATATTTTTTTTTCTTCTTGTTTTGTCAGCTATTTTTTCTTTTCTTTTTTTTGTGTTTTGGTTATTAATTCTCTCTTTTCATTGTTTTTAATTAAATTTTGAGCGCCTTTAATATTCTATTCCAATCGCGTAACACGTGCTAAAAATTGACTGCGGATCGTTTGCCATGTTTACTTTCAGTTGTCAAAGTCGATTCTAGTTCCGGGTGTTCTAATGCTGAAAGAGAATACTTTCTATCTTATTCTCTATCTATCTATCTATCTAGACATATATCTCTCTTTTATCGTATCTATTGTTGAAGATGTGAAAAATATTTAAGAATATACAAGAAAATAAAATATGTGGTGGGGAATAGAGAAGAGTAAAATGAGAGAAACATGTCGAATTCTTGCACGTGGGATAATTCGAAGAAATTTTTATATATGGCGTCCAGATATTCTCAATATATATATACATATTTACATATATATACTGAATCTATAATCATAATAACATTCGATATTTGATATACTATATATATAGTATAGTATGTATACTATGTATTCGTGTATATTAGTTGAATATGCTTAAACTCTTATATTTAAACATTACATATTGCGTATTGTTTATCTAGGTATATGTGGATGTTCGTCTGTTCATACGTGTGTGATGTAGATTATATACAATATATTGAACGAGATAGATCTGACAGCTGTTTTAAAACGGCAAGATATCGATGAAATATTTTTTTGCGGCGGACAGCTGTCGTTCAGATCGTTCCTTAAGACGGTAAAGTTTCCGTTAGGTCGGTACCGTGTGGCGGCCTTTTAAGTGTATGTAGACATTGGAAAGTTTGATCTAAAGTTCAATGTTTAACTTGGGCTTCTAATCTGTCGGCATATTCGAGTGTTTAGGCGGCGACGAAATACACTGAAGCATTTTTTTGTACGTATTTATAGAAGGGACGGATATATATCAGTCGACCGTAGCATATATATGCTAGCAGGTTATTTTGAGATAGAGTAGGCCTGATTAACGACGAGATGCTCCTCGTTATTAAATATTCATACGGCCTGATACGTGGCAGACGGCTATTGGATAAGGATAGGAAGTGAACAAAGTATGAAACGACACAGCGCGCCAATGCATTTCCGCCGTTTGGGTTTGCATTGAAAGGTAACTTTGGAGTTGCTTTGTTTCTTAGACCGTCCCGTTAAAAGATTAAGTTCTCGTTAGCGTCGTTGTTATACGGCTTTCCCGGCAGAAAGAAAACGTAGAAATAACGAATTGATCGATTTCAGGCGATGACGAGGACGATATATCGGACGTGATCAACAGCCAGAGGGAAATCAACAGGTTGCGATCTGAAGTTAGACGATTACAGAATCAGTGCGACCGACTGAAGAATGAACTGTCAGCAAATGAGCGGGTTAGTATCGCCCGATAACTTTTTTTCTATAATAGGCAATTATCTTTCATTTCCCGTTATCCTACATCAACATATCTATTAATTGAATTTGAACATATCAAAGCAATTATTTGGCCATAATTCCCATTTATGTATTGCTTCATCTTGCTTATTCCCTCCCGTCCCCTCCCTCCCTCCCTTTCCGCCACCCTCGACGAGAAGAGAAATGTGTAGTGCAGATTTTGAACACGTGCGTAGCTTATCTTCGCCCATATTCGTGATTGAACAAACATAATACGCGGCATATGGCTTCAAGGCGCAGCTGACTACTTGAGCTGCGGATAGTTTGCCAAAGCTTTCACCCCCCTCGCCCGTCACTCCTCCCCCTTCCTTCTCTCGCTTACAACTATCATATCACTCCTACATCTCTACTCATTCGTATCTCAACAACATATCTCCCTTAACTTGTCTTCTTTGTATCTATTGAGAGCGAGCGGTATTTAAAGAATTAAATTAGATAGTTTAAGTGTAATGTAGAATATAAAAGGAGAGAAAAAAAACTTAAACAATACCAGTCAGCTTGGCAATACCTGAAGCTGATAAGATACGACGAATGATAAGTAGTGTTTGCGAGATATGAACGGCCGCGTTGTATTTACTCTCCTCTTGAGCGGTCGGCTCTAGGTATTATTATTTTATTTCTGCTGTTGATAGATTGCCATTCTTTCCACTATCTCCACAGGATGAAGACGGCTACAATGTCACTGCCGTACTCCAGAATAAAGTTAAAGTAAGCATTTTTTTTTAATTTATTTACACTTGAACAAAGTTTCCTTTTTATTAAGTGTGATATATATATATATATATATATGCGCACACTTTCTATTTTTACAACAAAATCATTTCTTTTTTTATTCAGTCATTGGAGGTGGCGCTTTCGGCCGAAAGGGAACACCATGAACGAGAACTTCAAGCTTTAGAAAGGTTACACAGATCCCAACCAGCAGTGGACGGTAAGATAATCATTATAACTTTGAAACATTTATCTAGTTCGATGTCTACTTTTTTCCTATTAGATAAAAGCAGTTTTGAAGATATAGAAAAAGAGTCGCTTAAAAAGCAATCAGAAAGATTACAAGAGGAGCTCAGAAGCGCCAATCAGAGAATTATCCAACTGGAAGAATGTTGCGATGGTAAGTACCAGACGGTTCGTCAGCAACGACCTTGCCGGATATGAATAGACTGATAACGTGTTTATTAATTGATATTCTTTTTTATCTCTTTTTTCGAGTATAGGTTTAGATAGACGATGCGAAAATACCGATTTAGAGGCGGCAACATTACGCGACGAATTAGACGTTTGCAAGATGAAACTTTTAGAGAATGTTGAGAGTGGCCAGGTAAACTCTTTGTTCTTTTGCCAATAAATATTCCCTTCATGTCTCTTTCCCGTTTTGGTTATGCATGTTTTTGAAAAAACATATAAAAAAAAGATTGTTTGCGCTCTCTTTTGTGTGAAGTCGCCTTTAAGGTCAGCTACAATCAATATAGCGGATTGTATAAATATGCAGGAATTGAGAGCGTCTTTTATGACGGAATTGGATAAAACCAAACGTGCCGTAAGCCTTCACAATCAAATCCGAGCAAATACGTTTCTTCACGAGAGATCGGCTCTAACCGCCCAATTGTTGAAAACTAAATGCCAGGTAATAATCTTGAACGACGGAGTAATGGTTTTTCCACTGTCTTATCTTATTCTTAAGTGTATCCTCGGTCGTTGAACAAGTTCCTTTCTTTCAAAAATAGCCATTTGGAAAATTATTAATTTTTTTCTTTTCTACTAGGAAGAACAATTGGAGAAAGATTTAATTGCAATAATGGACGCTCTAGAAAGATCGACTCTTGATACCGGGCGCCTTATGGAAGATTTGGGTGATAAAAGATCTCAAGATCTAACGCGCAAAATACTAAATGCATTTACGAAGGACGAGAGTTCAGCCGACAAGGAAAGGGTGGACGATGATGCTAAGAGCACTGACTCTTTGGCGTGGGAAAATGATCCCGGTCTTCAAGAGTCAGAGGTTGAACGTCTAAAACAACAAGTTAACGAATTTGAATTGTATCGTAACGTTGTTGAAAACGAAAAGAAAGCTCTAGAAGATGTCCTTGTGAAGCAAAGAGATGATCTAAAAGAAAAGGAAAAAGCAATTAAAAGTCTTAATTCCCAAATGGCGGAAAATTTAGACGAAAGTATAAAAATTGAAGAGGCAATAACAGAAATAAAAGAACTTTTAGGAAATGAGAAAAAGGAGCAAGAAATTTCTCGACTTGAAAAGGTAATGAATTTTCTAAGAATCAATTGAAATATTAACCTTGTAAATTACCCTGTTATTACTTTACATCAGCTTTTACAAGAGGTCGAAAATCGGTACGCAGCCTTACATTCCCTAGAAAATAATAAAGAAACTACTAACGTTGAACTGGTCAAAATCAATAATCATCCTAGTTCAGAGACAGAATTAAATAATCGCATCTCTGCATGTGAGGAAAAAGTTAATGATATAATACAAAAGTTAGATGAAGACAATACTATGAAAATTAACGAAAGCGTTCAGCTAGAATTAGAAATGTTAAGAGCTCGATTAAATGAGGCAGAAAGTTTAGCTAATCCAGATCCTGAGTTATGTTCATTAAAAGGTCGGTTAGAGGAGAGTCAGAATGCTTTAGACGTAGCTTTAAAAAATCAAAAATTGGCTGAAATTGCTTTTGAGCAACTCAAGTTTGAGTACGATAACAAAATGGCTGATTTTGAGAAAATTCGTGCTGAAATGGTTATTTTGGAAGATAGGAATAGGAAGGCATTGCAACTTGCTCAAGAATTATCCATTCAAAAATCATTAAACGATGAATTAGTAGAAAAATTAGAGAAGAGAGATGAAGAATTGGGGCTTATGAAAAACGGTATAAAAAATAAAGATCTAAAGGTGAATAATGATGACGTAGATGAGCGGATTGTTGAAGGTCAAGCAGATGATGATAATTCTGACAATTTAAAGAAGACTATAGAAGCCCTTAAGAGAGAAAAGGATGAATTACAGACAACGCTACCTTCCGTTCGAGCCGCTTTTCAAACGGCGACTATGCAATTAGCAGATTCCAAGCAGCAATTGTCTCAAGCGCTTTCGGAGAAAGAGCAAGTGTCTGCTGTACTTAATGATAAATCAAGAGAAAATGCTCAATTAAAAAGAGAAAATGCTAAATTATTAGATAGTATAGCCGATTTAAAGAAAAAACTGGAAAATGCTGGGAATGTTAGGGTAAAATTCGATTCTTCGACAATAGAGAGTGATAATGAGATGTCGAAAGATACTATACAAAAACTAAGCCTACTAATAAGAGAACGAGATCAAGAATTAGAAATGTTAAGGCAAAAGTGCGATAGTCTCGGAGATTTATTACAAAGTTCTGGCCAAGATCTACAAACTGCTCACCAATTAGCCCAACTTACTCAGGATAGAGCCGTTTTAACTAATGCATTACAACAGAAACATGCAGAAAGTGTTGGTTATCATCAGGAAGTTGTTAGATTGAGTAATACTGTTTCAAAACTGCAAGGCGAATTAGTCGAGTTGAGAAAGAGCTTTGAAGAGAAATCTGATGCGTTAGCTAAAGCGACTTTAGATGTTAGTGAATTAAGGCAAGTTTGCTTACAGCAAGAAGAATGTGCACAGGAGCTAAAAAAGAAAATAGACATTGATGTAAACAACGTTGACGCTAATAATCTTGAAGACGACGTACAGGTGAGTAATGCTTGTAATCTCGTTATTACTCTCTTGACATGACACGTTTTACGTTACAGGAAAAACGCCTAACAATAAACAAGCTTGAAAAATTGCTAGCGGAACGCGATGCGACCGAATCGCAATTACAAAGTCACATGGCCTCTTTGCAAAGTCAACAGGAAAAACTAGAGGAGCAATTACTTAGCACAAAAGTGTCGTTAGAATCTACACTTATTGATTTGGAGAATGCAACTTCAGAAAGGGACTTGGCTAAGGCTGAGAAGGATGAGGCTTTGAATCGGGCGTGTACACTTCAGTCAGAAATAATTGAGTTAAGACAAAAAGCAACGTCATATCAGTTGGAGTTAAATGATTGTAAAGCCAGGCTAGAGTCCGTCAAAAAAGATGATGAAAGGGAATCCGCTTGGGAAGGTCATGTGAAGGGTGTAACTCAGGAAAGAGATAAAGTTATCAGAAAAAACGCAGATTTAACAAACTCTTTGGAGCAGAGTAAAAACGAAGTTACAACTTTGAAAAATCGCGAAATGAGATTACAGTCCGAGTTGGAACGTTTACGAGCTCATTTGATACAAATGGAAGACGGTCATACTCAAGATTCTATTCTTTCTAGTCAGAGAGAAGCTGCTTTAAGAGAGAAGCTTGAATTAGCAGAAAAGACCGCAAATGACCGATTAAAAACCGTCGAGGGTACGAAATCGGCTGCGGATTCGACGGTAAAACAGCTTCGTCTGCAGATTAGTGAAATATCTAGGCAGCGTGATGAGGCCTATGTCCAGAATACGAATTTGAGGAGTCAGCTGGAGCAACACGTGACCGCAGTGAAGAATCTACAGTTAGTTCTCGAGCAGTTCGAAGCTGAAAGAGCAGATGGCGAATCAAAAGCCTACGAGGAGGTAAAACGTTACCGACACGATGTCGAACACTACAAGGACCACATTAGAAGGCTGGAAAGCGAATTAGAAGAAGCAAGAGAAGGTTTAGAAGCGGCTCGTCGATTAAGCGAGCAACTCGATAGAAAATCGGAGGCAATTTCGGCATTAAAGGAGGAAGGTAGGAAGTTTTTACAAATTTTATTGATTATAAAAAATTTTTATTATCACACTTACACAATTGTTTTCATTTGTGGTGAACGGTTTAATTAATAGTTTTATCATTATTATTATTATTTTGGTGTTATTTTTTTTTTAATTTTCTCTTAACAAAAATTTAATTTGAGAACAAAAAAAAAAAGAAAGGAAAAATTTTTTTCTTTTTTCTTTGCATGGATATATTTTCCTCCTCCACCTCCACCTCCACCTCCCCATTTCACCAGAAAAACAATCCTTTTTTTTTTTGTTTTTGATGCACGGTGCATGGCTGATTATATCTATATATATATATATATATAGATATGTATAAATATAAATATATATATTTTTTTTGGCTTTTGTTGCATCATCCTTACCAAAAAATCTTCCTCATCTGCGCCTAATATCAGCCGGTAATTCTGAGACGTAAGTGGCAAGTAAGGCAAAACTCAGAATTTCGACTGATATCTGGCTCTGGTGTAGTGTTTCTGCTTGCTTAATATAATATTTTTTTTTTATCTAGTTTGTTCTTTATTCTCATTATTATTCCTAATTTTTTTGTTGTTTATTTATCACCACATCCCTCTACCCTTAAAGACAACCCTCATTATTCCATTCTATCAACAACTAAGAGTGTTGTAACTTTTGTTGTTATTGTTGTTTTATTATTATTTATTTTTTTATTATTTCTAATACTTCTAGCATATTCTTAATATAGAAAAAAACATACATGTATATATTATAAGTATCTATTTACACATATCTATTTATAAATATATATAAATCTATTTATATATATTTATATGTATTTATGGTTAAATATATAGTCATGTATGAATGAATGAAAGTATGTATGTATTTTTAGAATTATACATATATACGAAAATATTAGAGATAAAAATTGACCCTAACTAACTAGAAATGTGTGACGTACGTGTGCATGTTCGTATAATCTCAGCTGGTAAACGTGACTCGAAAAACCTTGCCCTTATCGCGCTACTCGCTGAGATTACATGAATTTTAGCACCTTTTTCATCTAACACGCTCTCGTTTTTTTATTGGCATTGTGCTGCATCGTGCAATATTCTTACATTAGGTTAACAATATTTGTTTTTTTATTACTTTTTTTTTCTTTCGTTTCACTCATCCCTCTTTTTTATGTTTTTCTTTTTTTTTATTTTATTTTAATAGAAACAATTTAAAAAGTAAAAAGAAAAAAAAAAACAACAGTTTTCTTTTAATAAGAAATTAAATGCTTTTGGTTTTTTTCTTTACTGTTTATGTCAATAGTCTTCTTTTTTTTTGTCTTTTTGTATTGTTTTTTTTTTCTTCATATTTTTAATTCAAATATTAATAATTCTAGTCTTTGAGGAATGTTTGTTCGTATAAGGAAAAGTATTACTATTCACAATTAGTATAAACCTAGCTATGTAAGCGTGTTAATATGTAGTATATATATATATATATATGTATATTTTGTAAACTGCGTAATTTCGTAGGTTAAATTAACAAAAGCTTGCAGATGTATATCTGCACTTGAATAGTATGCAGGATGCTCAAGTATTCAATTGACTTAAATCTTTCAATAGACGCGAATTTTAAGTGTTCTATATTTATCAACTAAACGTCATGTGGATTTTTGTGTGAGAAAGAAAAGGACTGAGAGGGAGGGTATGGTAATACGAGAGAGAGAGTAAGGAGAAGATAATTAGTACTTCAGTAATATTAAAATTAAGAGTAATATATTAAAAATTGAGATAAAGATTGATTGGTTGATTAAGATAGAGAGAAAGAGATAAACTAGAGAATAAAAAAGAGAGGAAATAAAAGTAAAAAAAAGTAGTAATAAGGAGTCAAATACATTTCTAACACCTGTGACGATTCTAACAAAGAATTGGGATGTGAGTATTACATCAGGTACTGATTGCTATTCAGTTTCAGTATCTGGTGCGCTGCTCTCATTCCTCTTTTTCTTACATCTTCTAATGCGAGTGTTTCATGTTAACACTTCAAAAAAAAAGAATTCTTTTTTTTTTGACTCTCAAAAGAGGCAAATAACAACTTATCGTTTATATTTTTATTTAGATGATAAATACAAAGTATACGTTTTATATATTAATATATATATATATTTATACTGTATATATATATATATATACATATATGTTATACCGAATGTATACCTTGGACAAAGTTACAGCTGTGTCTAAATGCCTTTGAAGGTGTATTTTGGTCAAAAATTTCGGTGTAATATATGTAAATATATATAATGTGTATATTTATAATATTCCTATATATATATATATATTTTCTTTTCTTTTTTTAACATAAATATGTTTTAATATATATATATATATATATATATATATATATATATATATATATTATATTAAAATGAATTTATTTGTATACGTTGATAAACCGTACCAAGTTATTTCTTTTCTTTTTAAGTTTAAATGATACGAAAACATAATTTAATCATAGTTTTCTCTTTTTTTCTCCTCCAACAAATTATCTAGTGCAAAATCGAGAGAGGATGTTACAACATGCGGAAGAGGAAATAGCAAGACTACAAATTTCTTCGGATGCAAGGGTTGATAAGTAAGTAAGCTTATATATAGATCTATATATATATAATCTAATACTCTTAGATCGAGAAATTGTTCTATTTACAACAAAATACTTTGCTTTTTTAGAACTGTTGTAAAGAATTTGATATTAGGCTACTTGCATACTCCTGCCTCGAAGCAACCCGAAGTTTTATTATTAATTGGTAAAATCTTGGGCTTTACGCAAGCCGAACTGGAACAGGTACAATAATAAATCGTGTAGGTCCGAGGCTTTGTTTAATTTTCTTGCATCAACAGCTAAGAGCGAATCAACAGCATTCGGGATGGCTAAAAGGATGGTTTGGAAATAAGCCTAAGCCCTCATCTCAAGGTGCTCCAACACCTCCTTCAACTCCCCTAAGGGCAGCTTCAGCGCCACCTCTTGATCAATCTCTTTCTCAATTATTTGTTAATTTTCTCGAGGTATGAAACAGATAAACCAGTGTGTTAGAGAAGGAAACACAATTAATATCATTTATATTTGAAAAACAGAGAGAATCAACCCCATTAGGTCCTCCAATGAAATTACCTGCCGAACAAATGGCTTCAGAAGAATTATCGAAACCTCGAAGGATTCCTAATCCATTTTCAGCAACCATTCCATCTATGCCAATAGAAAATAGATCTGGTGGACCAACACCACCTTTATTATTTAAACCTATTGACTCTACTCAACGGACACTTAGTCCAATTCGAATAGTCGATTCCCCCAAAATAACGACGACGACGACGACAAAGATGACGACGCCGACAACGACGCCGACGCCGACGACTATAATGCAATAGACATATTTAGAAAAAAATCTTATCACAAAAAAAAACTCGTGTTCAAGTGGATCAGTTTTTTTTTCAAATTTTTGTTATAGAACTTTTCCTACTTCTATGTTTCTTTATAATAAAAAAAAAGAGAAGAAAAAAACGTAAAGTAATACAGAAGCGACATCTGCAGTTGTAATGTTATTATTTTTACTATATTTTATTCTATTCCTTTTTGGATAAAATAGTAAAAAACGTTAATAATCTTACGACATGTTTTGTATTACTGTAAAACCTTTCGTTTTATTAATTAACTTTAACTAATGTTTTAAATAATTAATTTATTCAAATGTTATAATAAAATATACTGTATATATAAACATTAATATACAGTTAAAATAGAATTATAAGCAAAGGAAATTTGTTTTATTTATTGCGATTTATATATAAAATAAGCTAATATGATATATTTTACCATATCATATTTGTAATTATCATGATACTACTCACAATATTTATACATTTTGCAGACGCAATCTATTAGCTATTAATAACAGAACTTATTATAGGCTTAAAACTTCTTTTTTAGATATTATAGAAATATTCTTTTTCGATTTTTATAGTGTAAGATTCAGTTAATTCATTATTAAAATCAAGTAAATACGTTGCGTAAAATAATGTTTATATGAAATATAACAAATGATTTATTTAAATAAACTCTTATCGATTTTTAAGATGTAATGGTCCAATATTCGTTTAAATCCTTCCAGTTCGAGATGAAGCTTATAGTAGTATAGCTTTTGTTATTGTAGGCAACTATCTATATTTATAATACAACGTGTAAAGTATTATAGAAAAAATAGAAGAGGATGGCATTGTATCAATACGAGGCAGGAAATGGTCCATTTCAATTGTAATTTTACTAATTTGTCACATAATAGATCATTGTATTAATAATATATACGTAAAAAGAGAAAAAAGAGGAAAATTTGAAATAATTACATTTGGATAAAGGTAATTACTACAAAATTAACAACGCATATTGTAAATAGTATATAGACTGTATATATATATAAAGTATATATATATATATATATATATATATATATACTTCTTTTAATGCTTTTGATAATCTATTTATCTAATTTAAATAATGATAATAAATGTATTTCTAAAGAAATGGTAAAGGTCATGTTGGCAATGTAAAGAGCCCTCTGGCAAAACCTGATTTCTTTTATATCTAAAGTAAACTTAACAAAAAACTGAAATAGATTATTTTAATAATAACAAACTTTTATAAATCTATGTAAATAGTAATTATGTTGTGCATGTATAGAATTGATGAAATTATTTATTTTCTTCTTTCTCTCTCTCTCTCTCTCTGACAAGACTATCTGTACCTATCTATCTATTCCTTCTTCCTCTTCTTTTCTCTCTCTCTCTCTCTCTCTTTTCTAACGTAAATAGAAAAATTATAGTCATCTTAAAGTATAATAAACATATATAAGATGGCTTATTGACAACAACAAAATAGAAATGTATAACCCAGATTTTAGATTTACTGTATTATATTATATTTTGTTAGACCCTTTATCGTTTTATTTCTTTATAGAGTAAATCAATATGGGAATTTATGAGTCTCTACTTCCCTCCTCCCAACTCGTCTTTCCATTCTATTTATGTTGTGTTTTTTTTAACGAAATATGGCTCTTAAAAAGGGTAGTTAATAATGAATTGAAGCTGCTCTCTTAGGATAGTATTCATCTTTATAACTTGAGTTGAGTAGTTTAGCTCTTTCGAGTCTTTCATTCATCAATTCAAATTCCAGCATTAACGATAAAACCGTTAAATTAATGTTACATTTTATCGGTATTTTTTTAGCTAGAATACGCTTCTTTAGAATAGCAAATTGTCTGATTTTTATATAGAATAAATCAACCCAAAGAATAACCATAAAGCAAGATATAGTAACGATGATTAAGAGGAAAATGATTATATAATAATTCCGTTCTCTAAAAATCTCCTGATCGAAATTATTCGACTTGAACAAACTAAAATTATGCTGTTGACATTTCTTATTATTATTATAGTTCAATTGGAGTTTCTTATACCAATTTGAATAATTAGAATCAATAAAAGTAGTCATTTTTCCCATACATACTCTGTAGATCATTGCTTTGACGAATTCAGTATGTTCTGTTGGCTTTTCCAAGAAATTGATTAACAATTCCAAGAATTGAACTCTAGCAAACAAAAGAGACTCTTTTAAAGTACCAGTCAGATGCAAAAATACATAATCTCTTTCTTTACTTTCCGTATAGATTGTTAGGTTATCTTTTATATTAATATTGATAATAATCATTTTAAACACTAGTACCCTCCTATGAATTGGTATCAGGTATAATTGAAAATTGGATACTTTTTTTACAATTAATTTGCATATTCTATTGTCAAAGTAATAAAATCCTCTATAGAACGATACGTTGTATTTAACTAATTTAAATATTATTTGTTTCACGTAATCAATCTCACCATTACATACTAAATTATCGCTAATTAAATTTAATTCATCCAATACCCTTATTTTTGTAAATGTGGTTAACGATGCAGATAGGCTGAATAATGTACTAGCGAATTTATTTGATCCTTCAAGAGTTGTTAAACGCTTTAAGTTATAAAATTCGAATTTTGGCAAAACAAATATAGGCTTTCTTCCTAATCCTTCTCGCCTAAGGATAAGATTATCATAAGATCTCAGCGTTTCAAGCGATCCTTTTTTAGTAATCTTTATATCATCTCTTATAAAAATGTTGGCAGTCTTATTTTCTTTTCGAAAATGAAAATGAAAATAAGAGTTATCCTTAAGATGCATTACGTCAATAATTTCTTTATATATGCAGTTTACAAAGTTAATTAATACTAAATAAATCAGTGAACACTGCAGTGTTATTTGAATATTCATTTTAAATATTTAAATAGTTCATGATATGGTTTTTTTTCCCTATTTTTATATTCTATCTTTATAAACTTTAGCTTCATTTCAACCAGATTACGAATCCAGGCAAAGTCTGTCAATACAATATTAAACACAGCGTGTTTGTACGTCAGGGAAAGTGAGATAAATCTAGATAGATAGATAGATAATAGTAAAGAAAAAAAGTGTTCTGGTTGGAAATTACTAACAGAACTAGGCTTAAAATGTTTAGGCCATATTGAGACTTCTGTATTGTATTGTATTGTATTGTATTGTATTGTATGGCATATCTAACGCATTGTATAGATAGTTATATCCTCATACATCTAAAAACTTATTAGTAAAAGAAATACATTACTTATATAGCTGATTTATGGATCGTAATGCCAGATGGACAATAGAACATTCATCCGACAAACCTCGTAAGTAAAACTGATTTCAATATAATAATTGAATAGTATTAAATGTGGTGGCAAAGATATCTTGAATAAAACATGCATATATATATATATATATACTATCAGGTCAAACTGGAAGCTATCGAGTAAGAAATGAAGAGATCGTAAAGGAAACCAGAACTGTTAAGCGTGTTTACCAGCTACAGCCGTCGAATAAGAGAAATGCTACGATTATTCAGTTGTCGTACGTTGGAGATGATATCTTCTACATTCTCTTTCAGGGAAGAGACCAATCCGAAATAGTCAAATATAACTCAAGAAACTTATCGAAATCTATACCAGTTTATAGGGAACCAAGATTAATTTTTGGTTTTGCCATCGATCACCAACAACAATATATTTATTTATCGAATCGGTACGAGGGAGCCGTGCAAATATGGACAATGAAGAAAAGACATCATATGCCTAATCTGGAAATCAGATTGAACCAATTGGGCAGATTCGTCTCTCAGCTAAAATTAATAAATAACAGACTACTCTTATGCCTTGAAACGGACGGCGCTCTTATTTTAAGTAAACAAGACAGTAACGAAAATGCGAGACCAGATTGGAAAATAGAATGGAATAGTAAAACCGAAGGTTCAAAGATTATTTCGGCCGATCTCCTAAATGAAGAAGTCATATTACTATGTGATGAAAATAAACAATCAGTATTTATGATTAACTGGAGAGATGATTGTATCTTAAGAAGGATTAATCAATTAATAGACCCGATTGAAATAATCAGCTTTCCAGATGACGAAACATTCATCGTCTGTAACGAAAGTTATAGACTAGATATGTACGATAAGAATGGAAATTACATGAAAAATTTACTAATCCCTCTACCATACGCACCCCATAGAATTGCTTTTAATAATGACGGAAATCAGCTAATATTCATTTATGGAAAAACTAATAAAATGTTAGGAATTTTCTAATAATCTACCATTTTGTTTATTATTGTTTCTCCTCTCTCTCTCTCTTTATTTTTGTATATGTTAATTAGGTTCTTCTTATTGGAAAAATAAATAAAGATTAATTGGATTTTATTACTTTTTATTCCATTTTGTTGATTAATACAAAAAATGGTTTATATATAAGATAGAAGCGATCATTCATTCATTTCCTTGCTGATAACTAGGCTAAAAGAAGGTGTTTATGTAATTATTTATTTTTATTAAAACACTAATCACATTTCATAACTAATAACCAACTTTCTTCTTTGTCATTAACTACCAAACACTGTTTTGATAACAATTTACTTCTAATAATCCAAAGTTGTCAGGGATCTTTGTCTATCTCCTCAAAGTTTATTCTTATTTAATAAAAAGGTAATTTCGAGTAAGAAATCACCAAGTGGTCGAACTTGAAAAGAAGTGCTCGAAAACGTAATATTATTCGGGCTAAATATCAATCATAAATTACGACCATAGTAATTTAAATAATACCATAATCAAACAAAACTTGCAATTGTAAGACTACTGTATTCATTTTTTTTTCTCGCTTAATCGCAAAAGTTCGTGGGAAAATCTTGCCCACTTTGACTTCTTATTAGTTTGTACTCTCTTACCGAAAAGAGTGTTATTTTTTTTTTTTTAAAAAAAAAGGAAGAAGAGATTCTAATAGAAACTTTTTCCAATTTTATCTTTCTCTCTATCTTCCTTCCTTTTCCTTTTTATTGTTACTCAGTTAAATTACGCTATTTTTCCTTTATTTTGAAGCTGATTTGGATACTTTAAAAGTGAGAAGAAGTTTTTTTATTATTTGGTTTTGTTTTTGTTTCATTTTACTTTTCTTATTTTGGTTTTTATTGAAAGTTTTCTTTCTTTTTTCCAAATTTTTCATTAAGGAGTGGAATAAAGATAGAATACTTGATTATTAAGGTGATATCTACCATATTTAACAGAGCAGACAAAATGGAAATGATTAGATTACTAATCATTCAATTATTCTTCTTCTCGACAACTTTTGGAGCAGGTAAGGAACGTTTAGATTAACTAGAAATATTACAGTTTACCTTCACATCTTTTATTAAAGATCCGACATTTACTAACATACCTGCAACTGGATATCTGGCTGAAAACGCTAAAGGAACTCCTACACCAATTACAATCTTTACAATAACTGCTAATGACGTTGATGGCGATACACTCTTCTTCGCATTCGATACTCCGCTTGTGCCAAATTTCAATGTAGACATCTCAACCGGAGTTGTAACCTATACTGGTGCGGGAATAAGTGCTGCGGCAACTGCAACCGTAACTTTGAACATTTTACTTTTTGACTCTGGTGGTGGAACGGCCGGCCCTGTTTCCCTAGAAGTTGATATTGATGAATCTCCACGATCCCAATCCGATCCGACAAATGCTTATCCGTAAGTTTTCTTTTAAAATTTTCCATAGAATCAGCTAGAATGAAAGATTTCGTTTGAAAATCCCATTAGGACTTACATTGCTAATGTGAAAGAAAATACAGATCCTATTTACGTCATAAAGAAATTTGATATTGAAGATCCAGAAGGTTTAACTATGATTTTCTCTGAATTCTGGGTTCCTTCGCAACCAACTTGGATTTCTTTTGATACGGCTTGTAAGTAAATTTGGAGTTTTACTTTTCTTATTAACTTTCAATCTAAAGAAAATGTATTTTCTAGCTCAAGAAATGAGATTTATTGGACCAACCATTAATTTTGAAGCAACGGCAAACAAAGGTCCTTTTTCGGCTACATTGTTGGCACAGGACCCAGGAGGGCATATGTTTGTTTTCTCCTTTACTGTAACAATTGTAGACGACAACGATCCTCCTGTTTTTACGAATTTACCGGATAGTATTTTTTTGGCTGAAAATCACGCGACAGCTCAAAACCTATTTACAGTTATGGCTTCCGATGAAGACGGTGATGCTGTCATATTCTCAATGACGTCCTCACCGACAAATGCAGCTCTTTCAATACATCCAACAAGTCAGAAAATTTTTATCATTTATTTATTACTATTCGTCCAATCTTTCCATTTCCCTAACGAACTATTATATTTGAATTATATTGTCTTTCAGCCGGCGTTATATCCGTATCTTCGAGTCCAGGATTCGATTACGATGTTACCAAGTTGTACAATTTAACCATTGACGTATCCGATGGAACCAATACTACTAAAGGAATATATTCGGTTTATATAACTGAAGTTCAAGTACCGCCAACTATTGATAATCTACCCGGATCGTCTCTAAGTGTACCCGAGGACGCAGCGACTAATACAGTACTATATACGCTTACTGCGTCGGATGGTAATCTTGGCGATACGTTGACTTTTTCAATTGTTGGCGGGACACCATTTACTATTGATCCGTCGTCTGGTCAAATAAAAGTCAACGCGCCTTTGGATTTTGAGACTCAAATAAATTATAACATTCAAGTATCAATTAGCGACGGTTCGGTTAGTGTTGGACCCTCTATCATTGGTATTACTGTGACGAATGTTAACGAAAAGCCAATAATTACAAATTTACCAGCAAATGCAACGGTCAACGTAAGTTTTATATCTTTTTTTCTCGTCGCTTTTTAAGAGTAGCGGTTCAAGTATATTAACTTTAATAAAGGATGATGAAACGCTAACGAGGATTTTACTCACTGTAACGGTCACCGAACCGGAGGGAAATTCATTAACTTATAGTATTGTGTCAAATCCACCTTCAGCTCCATTTCAAATAAATCCTAGCGGTTTGTATGATTCACATGATTTATTATTGTATAATATTAAATTGAATCATAATCAATCATGAACTTTCAAATATATATAGGACAAGTTAGCCTGAATGCAAATCCGAGTTTGGACGGCGTTACTACCCCCGTATATCAGTTAAATGTGACGGCTTCTGATGGAGTTTTGGCAGACGTCCAAACATTTACCATTTACGTAAATGTAAGCGTTTATTTACAGCTGTTTAACTATAAAATATAATTATAATATCCTTAATTTGTCAATTTCAGATAATTAACGACGCTCCGTTGTTCACAAATTTGCCTACAGTTGTTTCTGTAGATGAAAGTAGGACAGCATCCCTTAATTTGCATACTGTTGCTTGCACTGATCCGGAAGGAGACGTGATTACATATGGATTAGCATCGGTCCAGCCTACATCCGTGGCATTTTCTATTAATCCAACTTCCGGTGTAATCATTTTGGCATCAAATCCTAATCTAGATTACGAGACTGTCAGCGAATATTACCTGAACGTCTCAGCAAGTGATGGTTCGTTAATAAGCTACGCTCTACTACAAGTTAATGTAACGGATGTCAACGAAACTCCATCAATTAATAACTTGCCGACAAGTTTGACAATAAGCGAGTTCTCTCAGGCAACTGCTCTAATTCAAGTTGATGTGCAAGAACCGGATAACGACGCTATAACATTTACGTTAAGCTCGATTGTTCCTGCTAATGGAGCATTTTCAGTAAATGCCTCCGGGTATATTTTACTTTCAACACCCACTAATTTAAACTATGAAAGCGTGAAGCAGTACATAATTACTATTGAAGCTAGCGACGGAACCTTAACAGACTCAAAACAGCTAACGATAAACGTGACAGATGAGCAAGAGACGCCTAACATAAACAATTTACCGTCAACGGTCGTTGTTTATGAGAATCATACAGGGCCCGCCGATTTACTCACGGTCTTAGCTTCAGACGAGGACACTGGGGATTCTATTACTTTCAGCCTAAATTGGACTCAACCGTCTGCTGGGCCTTTTACAATAACTGGTAGTGGAATTGTAAAGCTCAATTCTAATCCAAATTTAGACTACGAAACTGTTAAACGCTATGCATTGGAAATTGTTGCTACGGATACAACATCCCTTAGACAGAGTAAAATTCTATACGTCAATATAAGCGACGTTAACGAATCTCCTCTATTGTTAAATCTACCTAAGACGCTTATAATCTATGAGAATTATACTTCTAATACCATCTACAGCGTCTCAGCTTCAGATGAAGAAGGAGATGCACTATACTTCACTTTAGAGAAACAATCCGTCATGGGATTTTTCCTTATCGATTCGAATACGGGTTCGATAAAGCTTGCTCCTGGTTCCACCCTCGATTACGAAACAACGACGGAATATTGGCTAACAATCTCTGTCAACGACACCGTTCTCCAAGCATCCGCTAATTTAACTATTCAAATTCTGAACGTTAATGAAAAGCCAGTTTACACTGGAACCACTCAACAATGCTCAATTAAGGAAAATACTTTGGGTTTCCTACTTCAACTGAACGCATCCGATCCAGAAAGTGATCCCTTGTCATACACAATTATCAGCGTTTTTCCAAACACAAGTTCATTTACCGTGGACTCTTCAGGTATTTAAAACACTTTAGGCTATCTTTCTATCTTTTTCTTCAAATATATTCCTCATAGCCTCTTCCCCTCTTTGGATTACTTCCTATTCGACAATCAAATTCACTTGTTCTCTACTCCTTTCTTCTTTTTTCTTACAGGAACACTAAAGACCACTGCAGCGTTTGATTTTGAGCAACAAGCTTTATACATAGTTGAAATTAACATAAAAGACTCTGAAGACAATTACGTGACACTGAATGTGACAGTGAATATAGAAGACACTAATGAGCGCCCTGTACTAACTAATGCGCCAACAATTTTAAACGTTTCGGAAAACACGCCTAATGGAATCGTCTTATATACTTTGATGTCGACAGACGACGATGGAGATGCTGTCACGTATGGGTTAATAGACAATTTTCATTCATTCAATGTGAGTGCGGATGGTAAATTAGTTACTATTAAAAGCCCTAATTACGAGGAAAGAGTTCAATACGTTCTGGAGGTATATGTTAGCGACGGTACTCTTAATTACACCTCAACTGTAACAATAAATGTTATTGATATTAATGAAGCACCTGTTCTCGTGACGTCCCTCCCACTCAGTATTGCTGTTAACGAAAATTTTATTGGCCAAATTATATCTGTAACGGCTAATGATTCAGACTTTGGGGATATCTTATATTTCAATTTGACAACCATTCCTAGTGGAGGTTTCTTCTCTATAGACGCTGACGGAAAGATAACAACGTCAGGCCTAAATTACGAAGCAATTTCGTCTCACAAGCTACAAGTTGTCGTTTCGGATAAGGCTGGATTAAGCGTCGATTGGAATATAACCGTAAACGTGACAGACATTCAAGAACCACCGTCGTTTATTAATCTTCCAAACTCAACGTCATGCATTGCGGAGGATTTAGCCATAGAGACAATGCTATTCACTATTAACGTATTTGATCCAGAAAACGACGCAATCGCCTATACTTTAACATCTTTCAACGATAATTTTCTCGTCAACGGCACTTGTGAGTGTCCTTCGATTTATTTAATTGATTTTTCTCATTGTTGTATAAATGACGTTATTTAAACAAGTATTTCATTTTTTTCCCCTCCTCCTTTCTCTCTTTTATAGCCGGAGAGGTTAGCTTGAAAAGCGGAGCATCGCTCAACTACGAATTGACAAATCAATACCTTTTACCAATTGTTGCAAACGATGGAACTTTGACTGCTACGTCAACCTTGACAGTTGCAATTTGTAACGTTAATGAGTCCCCCTCGATAGTGAATTTACCAACAACAATTAATCTAAGCAAGGATGTGAGTGGTCGGAAGTTATTATTAACAATTTCCGTTCAGGATGAAGATATTGGGGATAGTCATACATTCGCGATTGTATCGACAACACCGACGAATCAATTAAGTAACTTTACTGTTGATTCGAGTAAGTATACTTAAAGATTGGAATATTTGTAAGCTCAAAGAAGAAACTATTAAACATTCCTTTCTAAAATGACCTTATTTATATATGTTGTTTATTTTTTCACCCTAAGGCGGTGGAATTTATTCCGAGGCTATTAATGACTTTAAGTCAACAACATTAAAGACTATAAGCATAAAAGTTATTGTACAAGATGCATCTGGCTTAAACGATACGAAAACTTTAACTATAAACATAGTGGAGACTATTCAACCACCGACCCTGACCTCCGATAAGAAAGAAGTGGCAGTCGATGAAATAAATGTAACGTATATTTTATACAATATATAACAATAATACGAAAACTATATGACTTTTAACGTAGAACACATATAGTCATCAAATCAATTGACGTCCCCAAAAGGGTCGTCAGTTGTGTCTGATACTTCATTTACCTACTTTTTATTTTTGACATAAATAGGCCAATGAAAATGCTAAAGTAGACATTTCAATTACGTGTACTGATGTTAATGCAGCAGATATATTAACTATATGGATATCTGCCGTTTTTAATGGAAGTCAAGGTTACTTTAACATAGATTCAAAGACAGGAGTATTAAGTTTCATAAAGGCTATCGATTATGATGACCATACGACACCGAATTATTACAAATTAGAGATTACATGCTCAGATAATGGAGGGCTTCAATCGAAAATCGTTATAGACATATCGATTATTGACCATAATGATCATGCACCTAAATTTCCAAAGAAGCTTTACAAAACAAACCTAAAAGAGAATACTGTTGATGGCTATAAGGTATTGAATTTTAATGTTTACGATCCGGATTCTGTCAAGTACAATGTTCAATCTTACAAAATACTGAATGAAACCGCTTCCAAGTATTTTGAAGTAGACTCTGAAGGTTTCTTGATAACCAAACATCCGATTGACGCCGAGTCAATTGATTCTATCGATTTCCTTATTGAAGTTGTTGACGGAGGCGGATTGACTGATACTACAGACGTCTCTATTCAAATTTTGGATGACAACGACCACAGACCTCGTTTATCTTCTAATTTCTATAACTTGGAAGTAAACTTTAGGGCTAATTACAAAGATATCATAATAATCTTCAAAGGTTCGGACGGCGATAGAGGTAATAAAATCAAAGCTTTCAAGATTTTTTTAAAAGGATAAGCCATTATTAATAATAATTAGCAATGAAAATGTGTTATTTATAGATGAAAAGGGTAAAAACCTCACGTTTAAATTATTAAACGACAACGAAAACTTTGTATTAAGAATGGATGGCACACTAGAAGTTCGTAAGTTAGCCTATAAGCACGAAAAATTTACATTCGACGTTATTGCTATTGACAACGGCGTTCCACCCGATGTTTCAATGTATGATAATTATATGCTTATTATAGTCATAGATATTAATTAATACTTTTATTACAGATCTTCCAAAGTAAGAATCGATTCCTACGATGCAAGGCGTCATTTGACAAATTTTACTATCAATTTGGACATTGATGACTTTAAAAAGAATTACTTAGACAATTTCTTAAGAGGTTTACAAAAAATTTTCCCAGATTCTATTGCTAGAGCTATCTATTTTGGGAATAAGACGAAAGCAACGGGGAACGCCTCGCGGAGACGGAAATCAATTACGTAAGAATAAGGCGATATTCCCTACCTAATTTTTAGCCTCATTCTGTTCCTCTACAGACAACAAACCGTCGTGAGTACCCTCGTTGTTAAGGGAACAACAACTGAACAAGAAACAAATATTGAAGAAGATAAAAATTTCTATACAACTAACCAAGTACAAGCCTTCACGTCAAAAAAAGGTGGACAACCATCCACTAATTTAACGACTGGCGTTTTGTCGTCAATTCCGTTCGATACAGTTTCGAATTATGAAAACGAACCAGACATAGTCGAAAATTGGTGGATCGAAACGACTTTAGGAAGAATCACTCTATCAGTGCTTTGCTTTGTTTTCGTGCTCTTCGTAATCATCATTTGTCTTACTATTTACTACTTTGCTTGCAAAAAGAAGAAAACGTAAGAAAATCGATTTGCATATTCCGAAAAAGAAATCGATTAAAAGATTTCCTTCATTGTTTCCTACTTGATTTTCAGATTAAAAGTGGCATCAGATTCGTCGAATGAGCCTAAATCAAGAAAGAATGGAGTTGCTCCGCGAGCAGAGAATTTGTTCTTATACGATTTTAGATACAATAAGCAAAAATCTAAGAAACTGAAGAAAGCTAAACACTCCATGGATGATCCAGCTCTATTACCAGGAACACCTGTACCTACTCCAAGGACTTCTAGAGCCTCTGCAAGAGACGTAACACTAGATGATACATTCTCTTTGGGCTACCATTCCATGTCTAGTTCGCCTCAACCATCTGGCTTGACACAACTGGATTCTTGAATAAAAATTTTATTTTATCTATCCTCCATGCATTAACAAGACACTCTGACATTTATAAATACGTAGGTACGCGTATAAACACTCTTTCGCACATTATTACTTCGCAAAATAAGGCAAATAAGGCAATCATAACATTAATAGATCTCCATTGTCACGTTTACTTCTTAAATAAGATATCTTCATATTTTCCACCAATAAAGCCAATAGCAAGTCAGAGAATTGTAGAGATAACCACAATGGAAGATAGTAAGATCTGAGCGCAAATTATGCCTCTCTTTACTTGATATACTAATTTTATAGAGATCATAAAAACACCTTTACTATTATTTCAGTCTCCTTTTTCTAGTTCATAAAGCTAAAAAAAGCACCACTGTTTCTTCTTCTTCGAATTATACATAGTAGAGCGAAAAACTTAACGATCGGAGTAAAATCAACAAAATAAGATAAAATATAAAAGTTTCTTGTTTTGATGCAAATGCAAAAAAGCTTTGGATTTTAGAATAGATCAGATTATTTTTTAAGATTACTGTTTATCAACAGTTTTCCTGCTTTCAACACCCAATGTAGGAAATTTAGCGACAACTAATTTTTCAGCAACTTTGTAAGACGGGTAGAGGCCTGTTCGACTAGAACGACGATTTAAGCCTTTCGAATATCCGTCCCAATGGTTACCAGCTATACCAATAGTATCTCCTACTCTTAACTCGATTTCTCCGTCCTGCGCCTGGTGATTGGCGATAGCAACCTGATTATGAGCGTTTTGGCCACCATAGTAATAGATATCATCTAATGAACGGAATCTTGCAGATGCATCGGGGTGTAAAGTCTGCATAATTTCGTAGGCTACTCGACAAACTTGTGAGGAAAATGTACAAACAAGAAAGTCAGATTTTGAGAGGAAATGTATATCTAATATAACGGCTATCAGAGATGCATGGGAATAACGAGTTCCCATACTAGCTGTTTTAGAGAAATCCACATCGCTAACAAAAACATAATTAGGATACTTCATTGTAGCTTCCGACAATAATTCCGGATCGTCTGTTGCTAGATAGATACGTTTTTTTCCTATATCCTTATTCTGCTTCTCCAAGTATTTATAATAGTCCTCGACATGGTACATATATTCTTCTATACTATGAAATGAAGCTTCAGTTCCTATCTTATCAGTTCTTCTCACATGAACTCCAACTATAGGCCCCTTAAAATCGAGGCGATTTTCCGCCTTTTCTATTTCCTTAAGCAAATCCGAATTGGGTTTGAGCAAATATTTCATGAATTGTCCAACAAACCAAACTCCAGGAGAGCCATGAAGACGGTCTAAACGTTCTGCTAAATCGAGAGGTACGACCTGAGGTAAAAATGGCGGTCTTGGTCGTAGAGAATCGACTATTGGCAATTCAACAACTTTGACATTTTCAATGACTTCAGGAGCTGAAAACCAAAGAGATATAATTTTATTAATTATGCAAAGAAAGAAAAGGAAAGTAATCATTGTTATAATGTAGTAGCAACTTACGGCCCCACATCCTTCTCATGTCACTGCCTGGACTTTTACAAGTTCTGCTTATGGGCTGAAATACTGTCTCCCATCCACCTGGCGAATATCTCCAGCCGTGAGATTCCAAAATTAGTGTCCTCTTAGTACCAAAAGCAATCATAAAGCAGTATACTAAATGATGCAATTGGCAACCGTATCCGCATCCTTTATTGATATTACAAATAAGCTTTTTAGCCGCTGAACAATCACTCGGATTCTGCGAAAAAAAATTGGAAAAGGTCACATTATATAGTGTCTTGCTTAAAACCGTCTAGGGAAAACTCGGACGCATTACGACAATCCAATAAAGTTGAAAGCTCGTCGACGCGCATCTCTTATTTACCGCCGTAAACTATTCGTTTTTTTATTTAATTTATAAAACAGTAAAAGAATTGTTTAGGCGGTCAAACGTTATTATTTTATGATGAATGAATAAAGAAAATGAGATAAATGATTACATTTAAAAAATATGCATATAAATAAAAAACTAGCGAATAAATGAGAAAGAAATATCTTATTAACATACTTGTAAATAAAAAAGCCGTCGTTGAATGATATCGGATAAGTCTTCTGCTTCCTTCTTTCTCCAAGTTGCCATTGGTTCAGATTCATAAAGTCGATGCAAATCAGTTTGTATTGTTCTATAGAAAGAATAAAAAATTTCTGACTAACTGATGAAGAAATATCGTTCGTCTTGATTAGTAACGAAGAGAGTCGTTCAATAACTAATGAGAGACGCCGACACGTTTTGCCTTGGTTCTCTAGCACATATTATATCCTACTTATTCACACATTTCTTTATCTCGCCTCCTTTAATACTCTAATCTCACTAAAAATCTCCCTTTTGTGTCAATTCTAACTACCAGCCGAAATCGATAATAAAATACACAAAGCAGGCCGAGAGAGAATAAGAGAAAAAAGGCTATCTTTAGAGTATTAAAGCTGGTAATTTAATTTATAAATTTCCTATAAAGAAAAGGGAATAATCTTCTACGAACCGGCTATGATCAGCTCCATTTTCTAAAATTTTATCAACTTTCTGATTAATTGGCGAATCCTTTCCTAGGCTTTCTTTCAATTTTCCTAGCTGGGATCGAAGAAAAAACCACATTTCTTGAACGCCATTCTCAATTTTTCGCCTAGATTTCTCCATTTCAGAACTCGGAGAAAAGTCAGTAAGAGATAATTTCTCTGATTCCGTTTCTATTCAAAGAATACAATTGAATATTCTATTCACAATTAGAATATTTTATCAAAAGTACCTTTTGCGCCTACTGATTTAAGTTTTGAATTAGCGTCGTCTAGCCTACTTTGTAACTCCTCGCAATTTTTTCCACCCTTTTGGGCAATTTCTTTCAGATGCCTGTAGGAAATAGCGAAAAAAAAACGATTGTTATCAACTACCCAATTTACTCCTCTCTGTTTTCTTCTTTACATCTTTACTGTTGAAAATACTTTTGATTTGTTATTAGAAATGGAACATACCGAAGCTCTTCTGCCAGTGAATATAATTTCTTATTCTGTTCCCTAAGATCGTCTAATTCTTTCATAGCCCTAGTTAATTGACGCTCTGCATTTTCGGTGACGTCGCTTGATTGATATAGGTTGGCACTCATATAGATGAGGATAAAAAGCCAAAATATTAGTATAGCTGTGACTATCCTCCACGTGCTCTTCATGTTTTTCCAACTGAAAAAAAAATAATTATTATAATTATAAAATTGATAAAAGGATAAAAGAGAGCAAGAGAATGATAGAAAAGAAGAGCGGAAGAGATAAGAGGGAGAGAGAGAGAGAGAGAAGAGTCTATACGTATTAAAACATACTGTAATGCACAACAGCCCTCCTTTTCCTCCACCGAAAAAACTAGAGCAATTACAAAAATACATAAATTATTTGACTGATTTTTATGGAAACAAAAAAAATATATCCACTCTCTAAAAGGACAAGATATAAATCGATATGCGTCGAGGGAAAATAAAATGTCATCGTATAAAACTACCTCGCTATATGGAGGCAAAATAAAAGAAAAAGAAAAGCAGGAATGAGAATGAGAGTAGACGTACGTGTCTATGTGTGTGAAAAGAGAGTCCAAGAATGAGAAACACGAACAAGAGAATAAGAGGGAATTGTATTTTTTTTTTCTTTAATATATCTACGGAAAACTTTTTTTGGACAACGTCCGTAAAAAACAAAACATCACGGGGAAACAGAGAAAGGCAGAATATAAAAAAAAATCAGATTTATGGCTTTTTGCTTTTGTAACAATTTCTCCAACGATGGAAAGTAATTTAACGTAGATATTAGATGGAGTATACAGTAGGGAAAACTCAAATACGTCTGACGTAAACGCTTTTCTTACACTTACGATTGAAACAAACTTAAAAGGCATGCATTAGTAAGCATCGTCCTGTACCTTGGAGTAACGCCTTACCGAGTTGCTAGGGAGTTACAAAGTGATTAGTTTTTTAGGCTAGATACGCTTTTCTTCATAAGAAAAAGTGGATTTGCTTGTCTTAACGTTTAATTTTAACCTAACCCACTGCAGACGCTTACCCTAGTCCGTCTTTATTACAATTGACAGGCTTGCTACCGGTTTCTAAGCCTCACTTTTTTCTTTCATTCTCTTTATTATAAGATCCGCATGTCGGGAAAAATACAAATCGTTAGCGTTATACAGAGCCCTACAGCAGTATATGTGGGCTACTCCTCGTAATAGCCTCGGATCGAATATACAGCTAAAAATTCACGCTTACAACTGATTTCTTTTTTCATCCTAAGCCCCGTAAGTTCACCTAATTTACCTACTTTATATTCTTCTCCTGAACTATTTTCAGCTTACGCCTATTATACATATCAGAAAAAAAAACTCGTATTTCCCTATGGATGAACGACGGATGAAAACTCTGCAAACGAGCATTTACTCAGCCGTTCCAACGCCTCGCGGGCGTCATTTGTTACAATGTTACCCATTTTTCAGGTACCATTTCCCGAGTTATACTTCATCAGAAGTTAAGTAAAACATATTAAGAATGATTAATTAAAAGTTACATGAGAACAAACAAACCACCAACTAGCAGAAAGAAATGTGTAATATCCTCTAAGAAAGAATCTGAAGAGTTCAAAAATAGTTTATTGAAACTTACCCGCAATCCGCACGACCTTGTCCACCTAGTTCAAACTGCATTGGAAAGGCGAACGGATATGCGGTGCAGCGTTCCGCAGACTGAAATGGCGTCCAGGCGTTTCTCATACCGAAGCGAGAGAGGCGCCTCACAACGAAAAAAAATTCGATAGGTTTTTTTTTTCCAACAGATAGATCGGAAATGAGAAGTTGAGGGAAAAAATAAAATATAACATTTCTCCATATATATATAGATTACTTATTATATTTAATATATATGTATATATATATATATTATGTAACGGAACATTATACATATATATCTGTGTGCGCACAGGTTGTGCGACAACAAAAAGATACGACATAAAGATAATTTATCGAAAGTATCGACAGGTCTTTAGATATATTTCCAACGATTTAAAGAATGAACCTGATAGTGTACAAAAATTTACGAATGGTTACATACAAACAAATATAATAACTAATCTTTCAAAAACTTCATTGAATAAGATAAAACAACAAAACTAATTAAATTAACGTCAGGAAATAAGAATTTACGGAAAATATTTGCATAAAAATATGAAAGAATTGTAAGAATGTTCCCATTTTAATTATAGATAAAAACTGACTTTTGTTTGTAAAAAAAAAGCATATAGAAATACAACCTTCAAGCAAATAAAAATGTCAATTATAAATCATATATCAAGAAGATATCTATCTTTTTCTATTAAAGTAGAAAGATGGGATATTTCGTAATATAATAAAGATTTTTTTGTATTCTTTTCTCAACCAAACCGTGAAGAGAAAGAGATAATACAATTTAAATTATTCATCGTTTATACCATTTATCAAATATAAAAAAGCCTTTTTAATCCACGGTAAATTACGTTTTTAATTAGTATTCTATTCTTTGTTGTTACACGACATATATACTGTATAAACATACAAATGTATATATATAACTGTGTCTTAATTCAATATAAATATAAATAAGCAGTAAATATTAAATGTACATGTAGATCTATTTATACAAAGCTGGTTGTAAGGAAACTAGTAAACAAACAACCTTAAATCCCAAAATACTAAGAAATCTAATATTTTTGATGTCGTAGAGTATGATTAATTATTCATAAATGGAAGAGATTCTCTTACCTTGGAAACCTACTACTGCAATTTTCTAAAATATTACCTACTCAATTTATTTAAACAGTGTATATAGACCTATATATACTCCAATTAATTATATTGAGATAATTACATGAATATTTAATTAATAGTAAGTGTTTAGTAAAGACTGATCATACAAACTTTCATGCTGATTAATCTAATTAAACATCTAATTTATTAAACATCAATACAATCAAATTTTGTATACTGTTTTTACTTAACTCCTAATTGATTTTCATCATTTATTGATTATACAAATCGATCTGAAAGTTTTAGAGATTATATATGTTACGTTAAAATCTACACGATAAATTGTTAATGAAACAGGAAAGATTATTTACCCAGATGACAATTTACTTATATGTTGGAAAGTAGGGCTTTTGAAATATTGGAAAATCAGAAAAAATGTTCATGAGTAGCAGAAAGAATGAAAATGGATAGCAAAAAAGAATACAATTCATTGGTAGCGCATCTGGACGACTAATTCAACTGTAAGTTAAAGATTTTTACATTCTAAGCCATTTACATTCTGTTTAAACATTGTAAACGATAATCAATGAAATGTCCGTCTGTTAACAAAAATTTCTGAAGTGAATTATTTTCTGTCTATGAGATTTATATTTGGTGGCAGGTCTATACGGATCGACAATTTTACTAGGACTGAAGATATGTTGTATATGCTTATTTTGGTTAACGGACAAGATCAATAATCTTTGTAAGATATTCAAGAAGAGTGAACTCATTTTATTGACATTAACTATTGATCTCAAACCGGGGGGTTTTTTTTCATATATAGAACAAATGCTTCAACAGAAATTTTTTAGTAAAGTTCATACTTATAATCACTTTCTATATGAAAGCTTTAACGCTGATGATCAGATCGCCATTTTGACATTTAAAATAAATCTTAAAAATTACATGTTCCGATAACTTACATGTTTACTTTATCGCTCAGTTCAAGTTTTTGAATTCAGAGAAAGTCACTCATTGATTGAAGAGTCATAGATATCAAAACATATAAACTTTTCTTTTGAAGCCGACGACTATCTTTCAAACATAAAGGTTTAGTACATTATCTAGTACAAACTCTGCAGGAATAATATAACTTCGGAAAACCGATTCTCAGATTAGAGCACACTACTCGGTTACCAGTAACTGTAAAATCGTATTGTAGAGCAACGTCTTTGTTTACATCATATTCACTTTAAAAAATAGTTCCCAGCATGTAAGCTGAACTAGCTAATAAAAATAAATCTAAAAAACTTTTTTTGATAAAAATACTTAAATATAAATTAATTTTTATTAATTTTTTGTATTTAAAGTAAAATATATCTTAATTCACGAAACTATTGCATAGTACTCTGACCACGTGTAAATAAATCGGACATACTAAACTCCACACGCCGAAAACAGCAGATGTTTTCATTCAACATTGCATGTTTTTAAGATTAAATAATATGTTAAAATTTAGATTTTCCTAATTAAGAAAATGAGTAAAGATATTTTTATATTCATCTAGAAATATAGAAAAATGTTTACTGATACTTCATTGACTCATAAGTTAAAAAATTATATTTATTAATAGTATGAAACTTCTGAGATTAAAAATAGCATAAATCTTCTTATAAGTAATTTTCATTTCTTCCCATTTATTTAAATATTATTAAGTATAAAATTATATATTTTTCCTTAGTATTGAGTGTTCAATATTTAAAGACACTACTTCGAAGTTTTAGTAATACCCTTTCTCACAACATTTTATTGTCGCCATTTTGTTCATTTTCATCGTACGAAAAACACTTCTTCTAAGCGACAATTGTGCCATGATGAGCGATGAGGACCGCGATATTGATGTAGAAAGCGACGTAAGAGGGCATAAAATAAGCGATTTTGTTATTTTAAATAAATTTTATACACAGGAAGACGAAATCAGTAGCTATCCAAATTCGCACTATCAAACACAGGTTCGAGTATTATTCAGTATTTATTTCGAATAGCTTTTATATATAAGTTTGTCTTACTGAAAATATAAATGTATAGGTCCTATAGGTCTTTTTTTATGACGTAAGATTGTTTTGGAATATTATGATCACAGCTGATCACTCCTGATGTCAGCATGTTAGGATTACTACGCGTGAAATTTACTGATTTACGTATTCTATAATTCATTGTACATAAATATATTTATCTTTTTATATATACTTATATACATCCATATATTAATAAATATACACGTGGTTGTCAGAATTCTTCTAAAAGCTAGATTTAGTAATAATATTTTATTTTTTATTACATTGATCAAAAAAAGTTGTTATTGTTTGAAACTGTGTCATTTCCGATAAGGGAGATAATTGAGCACGACGACAAATAAGTTATAAGGGATTTTATTACTTTTTACAAGGTCATTGTTAATTTTATCTATTTCATATTCAGGCTCAGAAACGAGCTCATCACAACGCATTGGAAAGAAAGAGGCGTGATCATATAAAAGAATCTTTTACTGGACTTCGCGACGCTATACCTAGCCTCCGGGGCGAGAAGGTCCGTATTTCTCTAAGTAGCAAATACTTTTTACCAATTAATATGCAAATTTAGTATCATTGCTGTTTACTTTTTAAATTTTATTGTTACTATTAATCGAAAACTAAGTTGCTTTGCATTATCATATTCTTATTCAAATCTAGGCCAGCCGTGCGCAAATATTAAAGCGTGCAACCGAGTATATTATTTACGTGGCTAAGAGGAATGACAAGCATCAAAGTGATATTGACGACGTACGCCGGCAAAATACGTTGTTAGATTCACAAAGTAAACCGAAATACTTAATTATCACATTCTACTTTACTAATTGGTTTCTTTGTATACTACAGTTCGAAAACTAGAAAGGTCGCGTGGAATAATACCTAGCGACGCAGCAAGCCCAGAATCATCCGCTGGCGCAACTGCAACTGATTCTTCCTCTGATGGTGAGAACTTTAACGCAGGACCTTCCCGTAAACGGCTACGGTCAAAATAATGATCTCTTCTGGCGCCCGAAAGAATAATATACTCAACTAATAAAAAAAAAAAAGAGAAAACATGAAATTCATATGCCATTCTGTCATGCAGCTGCTCAGCTACGAACCTTAGAAAATTTTCCACAGTAACGCTCTCAGTTGAAATTGTGTTACCAAAAGTTCGTCTTTATGTATGTGTAAATGCCATATCCGGCTGCGCGCAGGCCTTTTTTTTCCCATTTTTCCTTCGTCAACCGCCAGACATTAATTTCCCAGTGATTGTTATTTGCATATAACTTCGTTATTAATGTCGTGCTGTATTATTGTTTCTTTCCATGGTTCTAGTTAGTTAGAGTTTGGAAAAACAAGCATTTTATCTTGATTAGTAAACGCTTCTATTTTGTGATTAAACATTCATGCGTTTACATTCGAAGGGCTTGTACAACTTAATTTTTTCGTTAGCTTAATATCACAGTAGATCTTTTGCTCTCTTATACAGCAAATAACGTGTTAAATACACTTAACGAAGCGTTTTACTTTTTAAAGAAACACCGATTGATATGCCCGAAAGACTTCAATACACTAGTGACATCTAGTGCATAAGTTGAATAGCGTTGACTTTAAAAAGGTGACTTCATTGACGGGAATAAGCAATATATTTTTATAAAATTGGCCCTGTGAATAGCAAAACAGTTGTTGCAACTAGTTGAATAATGACAGGCTTTTTCAAGCAGATAAAAATCTTTATACACACGTTTTCAAATGAAAATAATGATTAGATTGTCGTCTATAATGTAAAAAATATATATTACTATATTTTCTATTCAATTTAAATAAAGATTGCGTAAAAATGAGGAAAATTGAAAAAATATTTGGTTAAATAGATCTATATATTTATATCTATATATCTTTTTTTATGTCTCATTTGATATAGGTCTAAACATATATATATACAGTATATATATATAAATATATATATATCTATATATTGTATAGTATACGTAGTCCCTAATTATTTGAGCGACGTCGAGTTTCTTTGTCGCGTCATTAAATATTTGCGTTCAAGTTGAAAAAATATTTGAAATCTACGGTGTTAAACAATCTAAAATATTTGTTTTTCTTTAAAAAAAAAGAACGAGAGAGAAAGAAAGGAAGAAAGAAATAAAAAGAGAAAATCTTTCTTTTAACTTTTTTCCCTGCCCCTCTTTTTTTCTTCTTTTCTCTTTAAATCATCTTTTAACAAAAGGAACAAATAACTTTCTTTCTTTGACAAAAATATCTAAATTTAAAAAGGATTCAAGTTATAAAATAGGCCTTATGTTTGGTTTTTTTTTCTTTTTCAGGAACTCAAAGAAATGAACTTTGTTATATAATTTACAATTATCGTATAGATTAGCTAAATTATTTTTATCAAAGATAGATCTAAAGCTTACTGTATAGATTAACGTCAACGGACCGCCCCCTTTCAAATCTATACGTTTTTATTACCCTACGATAAAACTTGTCGAAACGCATAAAAAATGCTTAGGGAATCGGCTAGTGGAATAATTTTTTTTTAAAAAGGCAATTGGGCGCGCGAGAGAGGGTGGAGAGATCACGTGATAATCTATAAAGCGCCGCGATTTTATACTAAAGAACTCTTCTCCGAGATAAAGCTCGGCAGGACGAGATGTCGTGCGACCGATATCTGATAAAAAACTTGTAAGCAAACAATTAATTGTTAGAGATATGGAGAAGCATTGTTTGGATGAGCAGATAGAACTGCTTGACGAACTCGTCTCCGATTTGGAAAGGTTGGAAAAGAGGATTAAGAACGATCAAGTACCTTGTACCTATGATAATTGCAGTCACGATAGTTGCTCTAATGTAAGTATTATCAATTAACATGTTTTAAATATTGTTCGCATATAGATATATTGGCATTATGCTTTCTCCTTCCTTTCTTTTCCAATCAATGCGGCTCGTTTATCTATATTTAAAAGTCTTGTTAGAACTCCGAAAGAGCGAGAGCCCGCTGTAAAGCTATACTTTATCTACACTTAAAGCACTTCTTTCGCCAAGATTATCTTTTAAGTCAATCTCACCGCTCCTGTTTCCAAATGGAATTCGCTAAAAGAGCGCAATTTGACCAAAAGGTGTTATAAATTAATATCAGAGCAACAAGAGGAAAGATGAACCGTAATCTTCTCTTCTTCCTCTCCTTTTCTCCCTTGTCTTATTTTTTCTTTATATACTTATATATATATATATATACTAATATATATAAAATATGAAAAAAGCAAAAGAAGGTGATGAAATCGTAGATAGAGAAGAAAATGTAGAACAATAAAATATTTCCATTTAAATTTGATAATAATGATAATAAAAGAAAGATAACAATACAGAAAAAAATCCTACGCGTGCTATCCAGGTGTATAATAATTGTAAATTATGTTATCGAAACCAATCATAAATCATTGAACGTTGAGTATAATCTAGAGTCGATCGTAAATATTTTCTATAGAGACTGTTTTTCTGGTCAAAGTCATTAAATGAGATCCGTCGGCCTGTAGGCCTAATTTCTCTTCAGGCCGATATCGCTATTTACGGACCAGGCGTTCCTCCGGCCGTCTATTTAATATTATATACGGTTAAGGTTTTTTTCTTATATGTTATATGTATATATATATATATATATATTATATATACTGTATATATATACGATATACTATATATATATTTATATACAGAATGTTTTTCCTCTCTGCCTTTCCTATTTCTCTTCCTCTTTTTTTTCTTATAAAGTAAATTATTTTGACCAAATAAAGAATGAAAGCGAAATAAACTTAGACAACGGGAGAGAATCGCGCAAATGGAGAAAGAATTAAAGACGTAAAGAATAGATAGATAGAGAGCTAGATATATACTGTATATGAATAGATAAAGATAGAAAAAAGAAGTGTAAGGAGACACGAAAAGAAGGGTATAAAATATATCTATATAAGCGGGCGAAGATGAGAGAAAAGGTCCTATTTGCACGAAGATTTTAGGGTCTGTGCAAACAAATTCTCTTTTTTTTATTAATATTATGATTATATCTTCAACTGAACCGCCTTATCAAACCTATGTCACATCGAAAGGAGCAGTCTGTTAGAACGTTTTATGAAAATATAAATAAATACAAAAAGTATATAGGAAAAGAAACAGGCTCTCCCTTCATCTGCCTATCTATATGTCTATGTCTGTCTGTCTGCCTGTCTTTCCCTCTTTCTTTCATTCTTTCTTTCTTTCTATCTTTCTCTCTCTTTTTACTTTCTTTCTTTATTCATATGCTACATCTTCTATATCTCTTTTCGATATTACGAAATTGGATATATAATATTTATGAAGAAAAGTAAATTATTATAGGATACTATGAAGAGAGAGGATACTGAAAGTATATGGTGCGAAAACTGCAGGCGTTTGGTTCTACGTTTACGAAAGCAGGTTGTTAGAATTTTAATGGGTGATGGAACTGATCGATTGACTGATTTAAGGGTAAGTGTTAGCTAGTACTAAACTTTTCCTCTTGATTCTCTCTCTCTACCAATTTACTAAAGCCAATTTTCGTAAAACGTTTGCAACAGCCGTCCCTTTGTTCTCTTTTTTCTATTTTTAAGAGCTAAGAGTATACGGAGCAAAAAAAATAGTATAGATAGAGAGAGAGAGTACAAGAGAACAACAACGAACGCTATTGTTTCTGTATAGGCCTAATTTTGGCGGGGCTAGTAAAATGAAAAGAGGAATAGATTGCTAGATAGATAGATAGAGAGAGAGAGATAGAAAGAAAGAAAGAAAGAAAGAAAGAAAGAAAGAAAAATAGAGACAAGTAAATGAAAAGATAAAGGATAGTTGATATGTTGTAATTAACATGGCAGAACGATTT